TCCTCCATCTTTAAGAATCACACAAGAAACAAGTGTTTGATCATGAGAAATGCCATGTATGATGAGATTTGAAGTTCTTTCTTACAAGTTCTCTCTCTAGGGTTTATAACTTCAACATACACCACCCCACTCCCTAATTCAACTCAAATTCTACAATCTCATATGTAAATTAACTCAACTTTAAGAAATTAGAAAAGATTTCTTACCTTCAACGTTTGATTTGGTGTAGTTTGCTCAATTCCTTTTCTATCTCTCTTCCTTCCTTGCTCTAGGGCTCTCTTCCCTTTCTCTTTAGAACTCTCTCTCAAGTCTCTACAAGATGTCTCTCTCTATATCATCTTCTTATTTGTTGACTTAAACCAATAAGGTGCATAATCACTATTAAATTGTAATTATTCCTAAATTAGCCCAATAAATCAAATGCACTTAAATTTATCCATACTAGTGTAAATTAGGCTCTAAATGCCTATTCCAACAATTTAATTTCAACTTTATGGTTTAACAATTCAGATAGGTCTTTCTCACATTCTAACATATCTGTCAATCATAATATGAGTCAGATAGCACATGACACATAATTAACACACATATAAGCATATTAGTCACATATAAGCACATAATTAAGGTAAGCCACAGATTTAACAGTTAATCAATGAGGCGGGTGTTACACAACTGGACCATCACAAAAGATCAGGACCATCACAATTGCTTATTGAAAATAGGATACCAATCCACATTGTAACATAACTACATCATAATAAATGACACAATAGCAGCAACCATTAAACACAAACTCCATTCTCATCCTTCCATTAACACACCAACGTACAACACAAAACACACCATCAATCGACAACGGGATACAACGTAACAAGTCCATTTCAACAATCCGCAATGGAAAATCAAAAACACACATCAAAAACCTATACAGTACATACCTACCATCATGTGTTTCCCACGACGATTGCTGGCGCCGATGATGTGTAGATCTTGTATTCAACGTCAATCAAAGGTCGGAACGGTGCTCAGATCCAACTTCACGATGGTAGCCAAGTATTATAATGAATGGGGTTTTCAGTAACCTAGGCTTTTCAGTGGCAATTAAATGTTTAATTGGGAATTAATATCAACATTACCAACCCAAACAAAAAAACTCAAAAATCACGAAAACAATATCGCTGCAATGTCGGAATCCCAATCCACAACCCAAAAATTACCTTTTATATTCACCCAGATGCGAGAGACAGCAACGGAACACTACATATCAATGTCGGACAATTTGGTAAAATTAACACCAATAATAAGCCATATTTACCCTTACTTTTTGACATGTAGCACATAAAACATGGGCTTTCAAGTCTTTAACATTAAAATGAGACCTATTAGTCTTCTAAAAAAATCATTGGACTAAATGGTTTAACATTTCCAAATTCAAGATTTAATAGTGCTTTGCCCTTAGTTTTATTCGATTTAGCTATACGAAAAGAAAAGTCAATATAATTATATCATGTAGAAGTAATTATATTTTTTTGAAGAAAAATACTAAAACAATCCCTAAGACTGTTATTACCCTTAATATGTGTGTAAAAGGTGTATTAATATATGTAAAAAGTGTATTAAATAATTTTTTTTAAAAAGTGTTAAAAAATATATAAAAGATGTATTAAAATTATAAATATTTTTATCTTTATTCACTGTTTGACTTTTTTCAAACCTTTAACAAAAGTGATAGCAATGTAACCATTCAAATAACTATTTGAGGAAGTCTTGCCTAAGGCTTATTTTGGCAAGTACTTAAAATAGTAAAAAAATTAAAAAATTATTGTAAAAAAAAATGTCTATATTTTTGTAATAACCCAACCCTCTTATGCTTTAATCTGCTTTAATTCATTCATTATATGTGTGGTTATATATGTGCATATGAGTTTGATGTAAAATTCCATGTTTTGAATTACATGTTTATAACTTTGTATCTGTCGGTTATGAGAAAATCTGTTGAAATTGTAACATTTGGCCTGAAAATTGAAAGCCTTAGAGGCACGATAAATCGAAATTGACTTTACAATTATGATTAGCATGATTTTTATTACATAATATGAAATTTTGTAAAAATTTGATTCGTAATGAATTAATTGGATTTATTTGGTAAAACTCTTAATGAAGCCCAACTTAGGTTCAAATAAGCTTGGCTTTGGTTCATATAAGCTTTGGTAGATATTGATATATCTCCTGGATAGAGCTCTAGAGAAGGAAGGAAAAGAAAATAAGAGAGAGAGAGAGAGAGAGAGAGAGAGAGAGGAGAATTCAACATAGGAGCTTGATATTGAAGAACTTGCTAGGGGCTTCAAGGAATACAACTCAAGGTAAGTGCAAATTAACTAGTAGACTCTCAATCCTTCTTTAATTGCTTTAAATCAAGTCTTGAGATGAAGATTTGTCATCCATGGAAGTTAGGGCTTACAGGCTATTATGTTGATTGAACAAATCTCATAAAATGATCATGTATTAAAGAGTTGATACCTTTATTTTTAGTATGATTTGAGTTGAATTGTGAGGAATTGTTCCTAAGCTTACCCTTTTGCATAGCTCATGTATATATGTATATATATATATGAAAAATATGAAGAAATGAAGGAATCATGGAACTTCGAGCTGTATGTGTCCAATTAAAATAAGTTATGATCTAATTGAGTTTGTATTTCATGTTTATTGTGCTCATATGTTATGTTTTTGAAGTGAATTTGCTTGATTTGGGCCTTGTGAATGTCTTTTGAGAGCTTGAAATTGTTGGATTTTCGGACTGCACAGTAGAGCCTAGAATTGCACGTGCAGGGCTCACAGTCATATGTGCAGAAAACATGGGAGGCAAAGTTGACATTCTGAAATAAAAGTACATACGTGGCCGCACGTACGACATACCTTTCCACACGTACAGTGAGGGACTTCCACACGTGTGGAAAATGGAAAAAAAAAATTGTTGTTTTTTGCTACCCTTTTTGACCATTTGAATCTGTTAATGTGTATATTTATTCCCCCCAAAATGCTTAAAGATAAATAAAAAGTGAACGAAACAAAAGGATGATGAAAGTCCGAAAGTTAAGACAATTTAAGAAAATAATACATTGCTCATCACTTTATGTGTATGATGTATAGGTCACTCACTTGAAGGGACCACCGCACGACCGGATCACTGCGAGTACTAATAGTGTAACGATATGTTGTATGTTGTGATTTCGAGCATGAATGATATGTTTGGTACAACTTGCGTTTTGATTAAAGTGATTGAGCATTTGCCAGCAACGACATATAATTAGGCCTAAGGCCGTTTTGTTACTATGATTGGGCCTGAGGCCATTTTGTTAATATGTTGGGCCTAAAGCCGTTCTGTTAATATGTTTGGCCTGAGACTGTTCTGTTACTGTGATTGGGCCTAAGGCCATTCTGTTAATATGTTGGGCACGAGACTGTTCTTTTGTTATATGTTGGGCCCAAGGCCGTTTCATCTTTTATGGGCTTGAGGCCGTTCTGGAATATGATTGTGCATAAGTCATGCATATGTTATATATTCTTCAAAACACATGCTCATTTATATGCCTCCTTACATTATTATTATTCACTGAGCCTTGCTCACTCTATATTTATGTATATTTTGTAGGTGGTCAGCCTGGAGGCCAACCTTAGGTTAGTTGCAGGACTTTTAACATACCCGTTTTTGTTAAGCCTCCAATGTTGGAGCCTTTTTTTTTTTTGTCTCTTTGAGAAGTTCCTTTAATGCCACCACTTTGTTAAGCTTTTGGTGGCTACACTTTGTTATTATGAAAATGTTGGATTGTTTACTCTTTATATATGACTACATGACTTGGACTTGTGTATATATGGTCCATGTACTTGAACTTTCTATATGCGATATGATGGTTTAGAATCCTGGCATATAAGCATTGCTCAGTGGACGTCCTGTTATGCGATTTTTGCTTCCGCTTTAGGCCCCTTCTTTTGAATTTTCATTTTGAGGCCTAAGTACAGGCCGGTCATGGCCTAAACTTTTAGGAGTAGGTTTGGGTCGTGACAATTTTTTTACATATTTTGTTTTTGTAAAAATTTAAAAACTAATTAAAATAGTTAATTCCTAAAAAAGGGGGACAATTACACACACACAAAAAAAAACTCTAAAGTTTGAGCATTATAATAAAATAAAATTTGAGTTTTCGATCTAAACCATTTGTATATTCTCATTAAGTAAAACTAATAGAAAAATAATATTTTAGTCATTAAATTCAATGAAAAATTATATTTTTGATATTTTTTTCGTCAATTTTACTTAATGAAATACAAAGTTGGTTTAAATTGGAAATAAATAAAAAATTTAAGATTTAAATTGACAAAATTAAAAAAATCAAAATTTAATTTGTTATAAGGGTCCTTTAAACTATAGGATTTATTTTTTTATAATTTTTCAAAAAAGAAAAGAAAAGGAGTTGATCGGTGACTAGCCTTTTAACCCTGTCAAGATAAAAAATTGTTATTAAACAAAAACCAGTCACTTGTTTGGTTGAAAAATATTTTTTGAAAATTGAAACTTTTGAACTTTTTGACAATTTTTTTAATTTTTAGATATAACTAATATAAATCTACTTAAAATGTATAATATATATAAATTTTCTTTCAAAAAATTAACTAAATATGAAAAATAAAAATTTCATATATTTTCATATTTTTGTATATATAAATATTTTAATTTTTTAAGTATATGTAAGTGAAATACATTTAAAAAATAAAAAAATTATTTAAATTATTAAAAAAATTCACTGAAAAAATAAAAAATTCAATTTTAAAAAACTGTGTTAAAAAATTAGAACTAAACAAGCCGCTGGGTGTATATGTACAAAACCATTTGAACCGGACGTTCAAACTGTAAAAAAGACGAAACCCGTTTTCTATTAGCACAACCGTCCGGTTTGATTTTTCCCTATATAAACGTTTCCCAAATTAGGGTTCACACTTTCATCATTCCCTCCTCTCTCTCTCTCTCTCTCTCTCCCCGGTGATAGCCTCCGCACAGTCCATTACTCCAGTTCGTGATGGGAAAAGGAGGGAAGGGTCGAAAAAGTGACAACAAATACCCTAAGAAAAGAGCCACCGTCTACCACCATGCCCCCTCCGCCGACGACGTGGACGATGAAATCGATACCTGTAATTCCCTTCAGACTCTGTTTGGTTGCCAAGAAAATTGACCAAAATCTATCTAATGTTTGTTTTGTATATTGATTTATAGAAAACAACTGGAAAACATATTTTAATTATGGGTTTTGTGGTTATAGTTCACAAGCAGAGAGATATTGTTCCACTGGACATAAATGACAATTCGGGTGAATCGGACGAAGATGGCGAACACCCTGTATTTGATTTTAAGGTGCCCTAGATAGCCATCTCTCTTTCTCTTTTTTGTAATAGTTGATTTTTAGTAGGGTATTTCAAAGAATATATAATGTTTGTCCTTTTTTTTTGGTTATGTTTGAAGTAACTATTGTCTCGTTGTAAACAAAGTTTCAAACTTTTGAATTTATGTTGGAAGTTGTTTGTTTATGTAGTTGAACTACTGATGGTTAGAAAATATTTTCTTTCATGTGTTTCTGCATATAGGATGCTGATGATGACGATGAAGACGAATATGAAAACATCGATGATGATACTGGCCTTGTTGCAAAAAGTAAGGAATATACCTCAAGCACTTGTTGGATTTTGTTGTTTGTGTGTTGTGCGATATCCTTGAATGCTGTTGTGCAATATATAAGTCGAACTGTTCTAGAATATCAAGAATGGTATTATGAAATATACAAGTAAAATTGTTTGTTTTACAATGCACTTGAATGTAGGTATGGAACATATAAGTTCAGAGTTTTTTTTGTAGAATGTCTGTGAATGCTGTTATGTAATGCAAAGGTTGAATCATCTTGCTAAGAGACTTTTCTAGCTAAAATAATGGTGGTTCTTATTGAAGTGAACATGAAAAAGTTTGCAGACTTTAGTTTTGATGATTGTGATGTTCCACGTCATTTCTTTTATGAGCCAAGGAAAAATTATGGCCTTAATTTTAGGAGTGGATTTGAACATGAGAGAGCAACAAATTTTTGGAAAACAAGATAGCACTCTTGCTTTTCCCAATTGCAATTTCATGAAAAAGTATGCAAGTTATAATTTTTGATTTTCTTAGGAGCTATGCAAGCAAAATGGCATTGCGTTTCAACAAGAAGTTGAAGTTAGTTCAAAATTGCTGCAAATGATTTATAGTGAGAACTCTGAGAATTTTTTTATGAGTAATGCTATACAAACAAAAAATCCATACATAATGAGGTGGCTCATTGTGGACCTTTCCCTTCAAAACAAAGCACCATTGAAGATGAGTTTATTTACGATAATGGCATTGCCACATCATTCTTGTAAGGTTTATTTGTATGAATTTTATGTATGAATAGAGTTTTTCAATTTTTAGTTCTTAGCTTCATTATTTGATCAAGTAAACATTTTTGTACTATTTATTTACATTTTTGTTGATCTCTAAACTGGTGGTTTTTTCAGTTTCCAGTTCACCTCTGACAAAGCTTTTGATTTCAGCTAATGAGTCTATTGTTATTGATCTCCAGTTGCAAGGCAACAAAAATATTTCCGGGCTAAGGATGGTGGGGTTGAGGATGAAATGCTTGATGATGCTGAAGATGAGGAAGAAAAAAGGTCTACATGGGGTAGAAGGAAGAACATATATCATGATGGAGATAATGCCGACTATGAGGTGAGAATTTAGATGGTAAAGGCAATGTTCCTGTTCTCCTTCCATATATTTAATGCATGACACAAACAGTCATTGGTCATTATCTTCTTAACAAGCTAAATTTTCATGGTTAAATGCACCTAAAATTATCTGTAGTTGCTTTTGATGTTGTGACGTGAATTAAATTTTGCAATGAACTTAACAATATGGTGTATTTATTTTTATTTTTTGTGTGGATATTTTAAAGCTGCAATCAAGCGATGAGCTTCTTGCTGAGGAGGAGGCAGAGGTTTTAAGATTGCAGAAGGAAAAAGTGAAATCTTTATCGATGGAAGACTTCGGCGTTGAAGATGTTAGTCAAGATGAGAGTGATGGAGGGCCAACATTGGAGGTGGGTTTTCTCATCACCTTGTTTTATTGATGCCTGCTTGTGATGCCCTTATTCTTTCGTCCATGCTAATGAACTTAAATCTAGAACTGGGAAGCATCAGTCCAATGGGATTATGAACTGGAATTTCTAGGAATAATGTTAATCATGACCATATTTTCCACTATTGTAGGAAATTCTGGTTAAAGGGAAAGTGCCATCAAAAGCTTTAGCAGACAAAGAAGCTCGTGATGACCCTGGTGCAGCTTATGAGGAAGTGAAGAAAGACCTGGATGCTTTGTCAAAAGAAGAGCAAATGGATGTTGTATATAGGTGATTTTTTATTTATTTATTTATTTTTTAAACTTTTTCTTACACATTTGCTAGTGTTTAGGTAAATGAACTTATATGCTAGTGGAGGAGTGCAAAATCTTGTTGAGTTAGAGAGAGTTACTATCATATTCCTGTCAAAACTATGGTGCACAACAATTACCAAACCAAATCAAAACCAAGCCTTAAGTTCCATCAAATGGGGTCGGTTATATGAATTCTTCTTCTCCACTCAACTCTATCCAATGCCATTTCGTTAGTCAAATTAAAGAGATTCATATCTCTATTTACTACACTAGCCCACGTCAATCTAGGTCTGCCCATTTTCTAACAGTTCCATTTACTGTCACTGTATCGCATTTCTTTACTACTGCCTTTGTTGGTCTCTATTGTATGTGACCAAACCATCTCAATCTATTCTCTCTCAACTTATCTTCTTTCGATATTACTCCTACCCATTCTCGAATATACTCATTCCTAACTCTGTATTTTCTAGTCTTGCCACACATCCACCTTAGCATTCTTATCTCAGCAACACTCATCTTATCTACATGCTTCTTAGTTGCCTGACATTCCGTCTCCTACAACATTGTTGGTCTAATAGCTGTTCTATAGAACTTCCCTTTTAGTCTAGTGGATACTCGTTTATCGCATAGTACTGCAGATGCACTCCTCCACTTGAGCTATCCTGCCTTAATTCTATGGACCGCATCCGCTCTAATCTCCCCAGCCGTTGTGATAATCGATCATAAATAACGAAAATGTTCACTCTTAGATAATTATTGGTTCTCAATATTTACTTCTCCTCTACTTCCATTGTTACTGTTACTAAAATTACATTTCATGTACTCTGTCTTAGTTCTGCTTATCCTAAATCTTTTAAATTTAAGTGTTTTTCTCCAAGTTTCCAACTTGGTGTTAACTCCTCTAGTCTCATCTACTAACACGATATCATCTGCAAAAAACATACACTATGGCACATTGTCCTGAATATTTTTTGTCAACTCATTCATAACTAAAGTAAAAAGATAAGGACTTAAAGTTGATCCTTGGTGTAACCCTACAATAATTGGAAATTCACTTGTCTCTCCAGCAGGCGATCTAATAATGGTCACCACACCTTCATACATATCCCTAATCATATCAATGTAACATTTAGTCACCCTTTTCTTCTCTAACACCCACCATATTATATCTCGAGGCACTCCCAGATAGAAGGAACAAACCCAAATCACCTAACACCAAAAGGAAAACAAACTGTGTTGATACCCAATAAAACGTGTTTGAGATAAGATTTGTTTTCTTGGTACAAAAGATAACTTTTCTGTAGAAGAAAGCTAGGAAACAAGCTATGTGTTGATACCCAATAAAAGAAAAGATTTGTTTTCTTGGTACAAAAGATCACATTTCTGTAGAAGGAAGCCAGGAATTTGAAAGGTTGGACCACAATCATAGACAAATCTATTGGATTTTTTCAATGCATTGCTAGCATTTCTAGGCCTCCGTAAGTAATAGTGCCATCAAAACTTAAAAAGAAAAAAGTTGGAAGAGAAAAAAGTTATTTGATTTGAGGGATTCGACATTGCTATCTCAGAAGTTATTGGAGGAATTAGATTTCTTTAGCAATCGTAAAGTGACAAGATAGGAGCTGCAAATTTAAAATCCGAATCTTGCATCTGAATACATTATTTGTGTTGGTTGTTAATACCTAGATCTTCCATCTGTCTCCTTTGTCTGTAGAGCTCCTACATTCATTATGAGCCTCTCTAGTCTCTACTACATGTCAAAAACTTTCTGGAAAGTGTAAAATAACCCTCATTATTTGGTAAGGCTGTGAAAGACATTCCTAGTTTTCAAATTGGTCAAGCAGGAGGCTTAAAGTCTGCATCTTAGGAGTCAAACAATGAATGTGTGACAAGTTACATAAAACGGTTGAGTGTAATTTTGTCATGATAATGTCTTTCTTCAATATAGGCACAATTGTGCAGTTTTGGATTATCAACGGCTTTATATATATATATACTATTTCAAATCAAACTCCTTCCAAAAAAAAGGGGGAAATTAAAAAAAAAAATCCTAGAATTTGACCCTTGTAACAAAATAAACCTTGGGTTTTTAATTTTATCAATTTAAACACTAATCTTTTGATTTGTTTTCAATCTAAACCATTAGCCTATTTCCGTTAAGTAAAACCAATGGAAAAATGATATTTTAGTCAATAAACTCAATATAGGTTTATATAAAATGTCTAAAAATACCATTTTTCATTGAGTTTAATTACTAAAATACCCTTTTTCCTTGCCCTAACACAATGAGAGATTTCATGCCTATTTCTTGTTGCAGTGTGCCCTATAAATGTATTTCTAAGCTGTTGGTCAGTAGATTACAAAATGTTCTTGGCAATCTAATCAGCCCAACTCAGTCTGCATTTGTGAAAGGTAGGTCCATTGCTGATAATATTCCTATGATGCAAGAATTGATTAGAAATTATCATAGAAATGAGCCCCCTGCTAGATGTGCTATCTAGATAGATATTGTGAATGCTTATGATTCCGTTAATTGGGATTTCTTGTTCAAGCTTATGGCTGCTATGGAGTTTCCTGGTAAATTCCTTAATTGGATTACTCAATTGTGGAAGGCTATTTCAAGGGAGGGAAAGGCTTAAGGCAAGGGGATCCTATTTTCCCTTATCTTTTCCTTTTTGGTTATGGAAGGCCTGTTTGCTATTTTCAACTATAATTTGAGTCATGGACAATTCACATTTCATCCCAAGTGCTAGATGCTGAATATTAGTCATCTAGCTTTTGCAAATGACCTTTTTGTGCTTTGTGGAGCTGATAAACAGTCTTTCAGAATAATTAAGGACACTTGACACCAGTTCCATCTATGGTCAGGGCTTCAACAAAATCTCCACACGAGTGCAGTCGTTTTTTGCTGGGGTTTCTTCTGAGTAAAGAATGAGTTGCTCCCTATTTTACCAGTTCCTGAGGGTCAATTACCTGTTTGATATTTGAGTGTACCACTTATTTCCACAAGGTTGAGGTATGAGGATTGTCTTCAATTGAAAGATAGAATATAACCTAGAATTCACTCTTGGGCTAATAATCTCGTGTTATGGAGTGAGAATGTAACTTGTTCAGGCAATACTGTTTAGCATTCAGATTTTGTGGAGTTCACTCTTTATTTTACCTCAGAGAATTCTAAAGGAAGTTGAAAGTATAATTAGAGCTTTTTTATGGACTGGATCTGAGCTCAAGCAAACAGGGGCAAATGTAAAATGGGAGTACATTTGTGTTCCTAAGCAAGGAGGTCTTGGTTTTAGATCCTTGAAAGTTTGGAGTAAGGCTAATATGCTTCAACACTTAGGGGCAATAAGCATGAAAGCTGACTCCCGTTGGGTTAAATGGATCCTTACTTATATTATAAAGGACCATTGCTTTTGATTTATTGCTGTACTAAATGATTCCTCTTGGACTATGAGAAAGATTTTCAAACTCAAAGAGCTTGGGCAACCTCTTATTCAGCATAAAATAGGTAATGGCAGATCAACCTTTTTATGGCTTGACAATTGGCACCCTATTGAGCCTCTTTATCAGCAATTTGGAAGTAGAATAGTGCAAAATATTGGTAGAGCTCTTTATGCACGGGCCTCTGATATTATAGTAAATAATGATTGGCATTGGCCTAGATTAAGGAACAGAGTTATTCGGCAGGTGGTTACTTTACTCCATCTACTTTCCTTCCTAATATTGCTAGGTTGGATGAAGCGATTTAGCTGCCTTCAGACAATGGTACATATTCCTATAAATCTGATTGTGAAGCTCTTAGACCAATTAAAGCAAGTGTTTCATGCTATCAAGTTGTTTGGTTTCTGGGACATGTCCCTAAATGGGCTTTTATTCATTGGCTAATTTGCTTGCAGAGGTTAGCAACTGAAGACAGATTATTTAAATGGGGTATGCAGGTGAATCCTCTTTGTAGTCTGTGCAGGAATGAAGAAGAAACCCATGAACACTTGTTCTTCTTATGTGCTTATGTGAAAAAAATGCTTAGTCTGAACCATATTGACAGAATTCCTTTGGGTTGGTCTGGTGAGCTTCATTGGGCAATTTCTTTTTGCAATAATAGGACTTTGAGCTGCACTTCATTCAAGCTTTCTTTTGCTTGTACTCTCTATCAAATCTGTCTGGAAAGAAATGGGAGAACTTTTGCTCAGAATTTTAGATCTCAGGAAGTGATTGTGGCTGAAATGGTAAAGGACATTAGAGCTAGAGCTTGTTCGCTAAGGAGAGTTAAGAATTCTTCTCATAATTGGCATGTTTGCCTGGATTGGGGACTGCCTTCCTCTTTGTTACAGTAATGTAGGTCTGTTTTTGTAGTTTTCAGATTCTATTGTCTTCTTTTGTTTTGAAGTTTGATTTGATTTAGGCTTTGCCTTTGATCTTGTGTTTGTCTTTTTAGGGTTGTAATTGTGTTTTTTCTTGTGAAATAAAATTGTAAGTTACCAAAAAAAGAAAACACTTTTTTCTGTCAGTTTTACTTAACGAAAATAGGCAGATAGTTTAGATTGGAAGCAAATCAAAAGTTTAGCATTTAAATAGACAAAGTTAAAAATTTAGGGTTTATTTTGTTACAAGGGTCAAACCGTGGGTTTTTCTTTTTTGTTGGTAATTTCTCCAAAAAAATTAAAAAAATGATGCAAATAGAAAAGACCCCTTTTCTATTATTCTAATTTTGATTTTCAGTAACAATTATGCACTTCATGTTATGCTTCATTTTTTTAAACTGCCATCCAATTTACTTTGTCCTGCAGTTCTGCTCCAGAATTAGTTGGTTTGCTGTCCGAGCTGAGTGATGCCCTTGATGAGCTTGAAAACAAAGTAAATCCACTTCTAAGCAAGGTATACTTCTCCTTTGCAGCACTTGCAATCAAGTTGAAGTCATCTCATGTTACATTGACCTGTATCTGAAGGATAACTTAGAATGGCATGTGCTGTATGATGGTTGATAATCTCTCCACATGGAACTTGTCTATTGAAAAAGAGATTTACATTGTCACGACCCCATCCCATCCCAAACTGTGCTAGTATTGTGTCCAGCTAGTAGTTATTGACTACCAAAGGCCTAGCTAGACAAGACATGCAGTATTCCTATGACAATTGGGGTAAAATTAGTTTTAAGTAGCTTAAGCCATTAAGTTCTTTGATTTAGTTCATTCGAAACATCCATTCAGAGCAAGTGCGCAAGTATATGAAATGAAACATTTAGCATTTTTAATTACGTCTCTTAACGATCTGAGGAGTACAACCTCTCAAAAAGGACATTTCTTTCAAAGCTGAGTACAACTTCTCAAAACATTCAAAACGCAAACTCTTCATATCACATCTTCACCTACATACATATTTGGGAGACGGGTGAGCCAAAGCTCAGTTAATAGTATTATGACTAGTGTTACCATAAAACTTGATACCCTAGTGAATTACGATCCAAAACGCACGTGTTGAAACATTGTACACTTTTATTCCAAAATGGTAAATTTGGCGATCCAAAACAATCTCAAAAGTTTGTTCGAATATATTTCCTTAGGGTTTCTTTAGCAGTAAAAAAAAATCAATAATGAACTAAAATCTAAGGTGAGTGAAATTTTAACATGACAAAACATAAAAATGAGTCATAATGTTCATAAAAATGTGTTGCCACATGATTAATTTGGAAAAAAAACCTGCATTTTATTAGGTGTCTAATTGTTAAATTTTTTCCTCTAAACTAAAAGTATCTTCAATTCTTATACTATAAACTATACAAGCTTACTCCTATCGTATATGGCGTATTGCATTCCCATTCCCGTTCCACATACCGGAATGATCCATGTTGTAGGTGACATAGACTATGACAAAGTGGTAAGATGAATGTATATCAGTAACTTATCCAAAACAGTAATATATCACATTAAAAGCTTTATTCAATTCAGGAGTATTTTATCAAGAACTTGTATTTCTAAATCATATCTTAGCCATAAGCTTTCATTTTCAACCTATGATAATGTACATTCATCAGAACAAGACAAGACAAGATAAAGGAATAATTGGACTGCAAATCAATTAGACGAACCCACCCTCAAGTGGCAAGTGAGATCTCTCTCATCACGTGACTAGCATTCTTATGGTCCCCTGGTAGCTAGGACCAATTTGAGGATGCCATCTTTATACATTTGATACATAAACATAGGATATCCATTCATAACAAGATATTTCAATGTATACCAAAACATAGCATTATTTGATTTCTAAAATATGAGCTTGAACACAACTCTGAGATAATACAGTGATGCTAGAGACCTCTAATTTAGAGGCTCTAAACACACCTCTAATGAGGTGGAAAAGAAAAAAGAAAAAAAAAAAAAAAATGGCTCTTAGGAATGGAGTGATCCTCAAGCTTATCACCTACACAAGTACAAGAACAACTTTCTTTGAATAATATTCTAGCTAGTTCAAATCCTAAATAATTTGTGAATAAGTCGAAGTGTTCTTCCTAATTTAGCCTTTTTTTCCTTAGTTATAGGTTTTAGGGTACAAATTAAAGTCTTTCCGAAGTGTTGATCCAAGTTCCAAGTGTTTAATTCAATGCCCGATGAGTTAAAGCAAAAGAAGAACAAAATAGGCCAACCCAGTTTGAGCAGCACATGCGCATTGCTGCAGCCCGCATTGTGCCTTGTGCCTCACGTGCAGGGTCCCTGCAGCATGTGCAGTGACCTCCTACTGCACATGCGGATTATTGTAGGCGACTCCACCTGCTGCTGGTTCGAATTTCGACTTTGTGCAAAACCAATTTTCTTCATTCCAAGGCATGAAAACATGAAGGGCTTGTTTGGTTTGTATCTCAAGATACAATTTTTGAGAAAAATTTTCAAAATTTTGTTTGGTTCAAATTTTTTGAAATTTTTTTCCAAAATCACTCTCTCTCTTACACATCAATCAATCACTTTTTCCCTCTCCTCTCTCCTTCTCAATCACTTTTTCTCTCTCACACACATCTACTCAACTACAACAAAATATCAAATCATCTCAAACTCCCAAGCTCCAAAGCTATTTTCAAAATATACAACCAAACAAACCAAAAATTTTTCTAAATTCTCTACCCAAATTTTTTTTTGAAAATTTATCTCAAAACACAAACCAAACACACCTGAAATTTCTCAATACAAAATACTTGAAAATCATGTGAAACTTGTGGATTCTCATTTATATACAATATTTTAGATTTTTGTCTTCCAAAAACATGGATTTGCACCAATTATTCCTTAACGTAGTTCCCTTTTAGCCTTTCATCATTCCTTCATTTAAATCTTTAAAATCAATCTTAACTTATGTTTTTCTAGTTATGAAAATTGTAATGTGAATTATAGCTAGAAAACTTACTTTAAATTGGGCTAGAAAAGTTTCCAAGTCAAGAACTACGACTCTCTTTTGGCATTCTCTTCTTTCTCTTTTCTTCTTTCTTTTCTCCTCTCTTCTTGCTTCTTTGCTACATCAAATTTTCTCTTTTTAGAGTTCATTTCGTAGTTTTATATTTTAGGAGTGACACTTGTCTCTCTTGTGGCTTGCCTTATCCCTCCAAGTAGGAGGTGTACAAACTAAGAGAGGTGTGTGCACGCCTCATCTAGGTGCATGCTTCACCATCTTCTTAATCTCCTTAGCTTAGTTAATGAAGTTTAGCTCTAATTAATGAAGGCTTGCCTTTAATCTTCATTAACTTAATTAATCCTACTTAGGTCTAATTAATCTTACTTAAATACCATTAATCTTGATTAAGTTTTGGTACATTATGGGAATACTTAGCACATTAGACAAAAGCTATTAAGCACCTTGATTAGGAATTAGAACACCTTATAGCATTTCAAATTCTAGCTAAAACCATCCCCTAACTCTTAATACAATTTAAGGAGGTCCACCTCTAAAAGTCCTCTAACTAGAGCATGCATTTCCTAAGTTTTCATCTGAGCATTCATATCACAATTACTAGTGCAATGCAAGGCAATTAAACAAGGACATGCAAGGTGTTGTACATACTTGTTTTCTAAGTTAAAAGAAGGTTGATCCCTAACTCTTGACAATTAACAAAGAAATTCTCACGTATAAGACTTCCCAACTATACCATTTCTAAGCTTCAATTTAGGCATTTCATGCAACGAGGCAACTGGTTTGACTTAGGGCATTCAAATATGAATATGGATATGGTTATGATACTTGGTATTATTTTGGGGTGTTACATGGATCACATAATTTCTGCTTGAGTTGACATTTGACTCATGAGGATTATTTCAATTTTCACAATGTTAACTATCTGACAAGGAGGGATACAGCATCTCTCTGCAGATGATGATGACACTCTTTTTTCTTCTTGCAGTTTTGGAGATGGAATTTGTAGAAATTTAATGTATAAAGAGAAATAATTGTTTTATTGATTAATTGATGTGTTGTGTATATTACAATTACAAGGATTCCTATTATATAGGAGTGTGTTTGGGAGTAGGTGGAGAGTAGGTGAAGTGGAGGTGGTAGTGGTGTAGTGGGTTAGGTTTAGTGGAGTAGGTGAGGTGGTTCTGAGATAATACAGTGATGCTAGAGACCTCTAATTTAGAGGCTCTAAACACACCTCTAATGAGGTGGAAAAGAAAAAAGAAAAAAAAAAAAAAAACAGACACAGCACCGACAGTGGCAGTGGGTGGGACCCACTGCCACATCACTAGTGGCACCTCTAATTAGAGATCCCAAGCATTTTTCGAGATAATACTGTTCACCAATGGCTCTTAGGAATGGAGTGATCCTCAAGCTTATCACCTACACAAGTACAAGAACAACTTTCTTTGAATAATATTCTAGCTAGTTCAAATCCTAAATAATTTGTGAATAAGTCGAAGTGTTCTTCCTAATTTAGCCTTTTTTTCCTTAGTTATAGGTTTTAGGGTACAAATTAAAGTCTTTCCGAAGTGTTGATCCAAGTTCCAAGTGTTTAATTCAATGCCCGATGAGTTAAAGCAAAAGAAGAACAAAATAGGCCAACCCAGTTTGAGCAGCACATGCGCATTGCTGCAGCCCGCATTGTGCCTTGTGCCTCACGTGCAGGGTCCCTGCAGCATGTGCAGTGACCTCCTACTGCACATGCGGATTATTGTAGGCGACTCCACCTGCTGCTGGTTCGAATTTCGACTTTGTGCAAAACCAATTTTCTTCATTCCAAGTATTGAAAACATGAAGGGCTGATTTGGTTTGTATCTTAAGATACAATTGAGAAAAATTTTCAAAATTTTGTTTGGTTCAAATTTTTTGAAATTTTTTTCCAAAATTACTCTCTCTTACACATGAATCAATCATTTTTTCTCTCTCCTCTCTCCTTCTCAATCACTTTTTCTCTTCCAAAAACATGGATTTGCACCAATTATTCCTTAACCTAGTTCCCTTTTAGCCTTTCATCATTCCTTCATTTAAATCTTTAAAATCAATCTTAACTTATGTTTTTCTAGTTATGAAAATTGTAATGTGAATTATAGCTAGAAAACTTACTTTAAATTGGGCTAGAAAAGTTTCCAAGTCAAGAACTACGACTCTCTTTTGGCATTCTCTTCTTTCTCTTTTCTTCTTTCTTTTCTCCTCTCTTCTTGCTTCTTTGCTACATCAAATTTTCTCTTTTTAGAGTTCAGGTGACATAGCACTGGCTATAGGTGAAAATTTTGAGAAGTACTTGATGTATGCCATGCCTATGCTTCAGAGTGCTGCAGAGTTGTCTGCCGACACATCAGGTGCTGATGATGAGATGACTGAGTACATCAATCTTCTGAGAAATGGGATATTGGAAGCATATTCTGGAATATTTCAAAGCTTTCAAAATTCTTCTAAAACTCAACTGTTGGTCCCTTACGCACCTCATATTCTTCAGTTCCTGGATAGCATATACATGGAGAAAGACATGGATGATGTTGTGATGAAAACTGCCATTGGGCTCCTTGGAGATCTAGCAGATTTGGGAAGTAATGTTGGTTCTTTGATTTAGCAATCTCGGCAGGCATAAGGGTGTGTCGAGTCGGGTCATCACCAGTCTCGGACAACTGAATTGAACTTCAAGTTGTCACTAACTCTTGCATCAGCACCATGGGGTCGTGTTTTCCCTTTGTAACAGAGGAAGTGCGCAGTGTTGGCTAATCAGAAATGGGAAATGTCCTTCCTGTTTTCTTGGATCTTGAATTGGAGCAATGGGATTGCCCACAGAGGCACAGTTTCATGTCTTAGCTGTTGATGATAGTCTTATAGACAGAAAACTCATTGAGAGGCTCCTCAAGACCGCATCATTGCAAAGTTACCACAGTGGATTCTGGTAGCAAGGCTTTACAATTTCTGGGTTTTGGATCTCATCTTTCTGTCTTCTTCTTGGAAGCTTGCCGACGAGACAATTGGTGGTGATGGGTTGACTGGGTGAGTCAAGGACAGCGACTCGAAGGAGTTGGGCGTGAAGGTGGTGGACTCGAAGAAATTTCAAGGTATGTGTAGAAAATTCTAGCGGACTAGGTTGAGGTCCGGCGGGCGGCCAAGGCGAGGTTGCCGCCCGCCGGTGAAGCGAAAAATACGAACTGCTTAACCTTGCTCTGATACCATGTAGAAATTTAATGTATAAAGAGAAATAATTGTTTTATTGATTAATTGATGTGTTGTGTATATTACAATTACAAGGATTCCTATTATATAGGAGTGTGTTTGGGAGTAGGTGGAGAGTAGGTGAAGTGGAGGTGGTAGTGGTGTAGTGGGTTAGGTTTAGTGGAGTAGGTGAGGTGGTAGGTTTATGGTAAATTCTAACAGCAGAATTTTATCTAGATGTGTACAACTTTGATCTGATTGATATCTTGATATTCAGCGTGGCGGTTTTTTTTTTTGGTGAAGGTTAAAAAAGGGGGAAACTCAATGAAAGGAGGCATGCACTATATGGAGGTGAAACAGCTGCTTCTTCTGGCCTATTGCCAAGCTATTACCTTTTATCTTCTTCTCAAGTCTGAAGGGAATCCAGTCCGTGATCATCCAGTCATTGCTCGCCTTGTAGAGATTAAGACTTTATTGGACAAGGTTACTATTTCTCTTTGCAGGCTTAGACAAAATCTAATGACACAATATCTTATTCAATAATGAAATTATTTTTATTGCCAATACCATGCTAGCTAGCCTGTGTTTTTCCTTTGAACAATGAAATTTTCTTTTAGCCAGCCTCCTGGGTTTAAGAAACTCTCTTGTTGATCATTCCCTGATGATCATCACTGCCACTGGTGAGTTTACAGTAGCAGACTACTAGCTTACAATATTGCTTTGATGTTCCAAAAGTACTTCAATCAATATTTGATTTTTGCTGGCCAAAATGATTTTTATGTTTGAAATTTTGTGTTGGAATTACTTTGAATGGTAATGGAATGTGGGTATTTATTTGTACTTGCTGCAACTCTGAATATGGTGTTGTTTTCCCATTTTTCATTCAAATTATATAAGTGGGATAATTGTTTAAGGTACTCAATTTTGCAGGCATATGACTTACAATTCCAGTTAAAAAAGATTGTGTTATGATTGTTAGAATTGTGCGATTCACGATTCGATACATACGTTTCGATATGAGTTTCAACAAAAACAATTTAAATTGTACCGTTGAATTGAAAATTGAGTGAATTGTATGATTCAATTTACGATTCATTGCGATTCACTGCGATTCAGTTCTATTTTTGTTTTTTGTTTATATAATGCATGAAACAATGTCGTTTTCGCCAAAGTATCAAGATGTATAAAAGAGATTAATTAGTTATATTGATATACATTATTTTATATGTATATACATATATACAATTTAGTTATACTGATAATTTACTTTATTTTAAACATTGTATATTTTTATTTGTATATAAATATATAAAATTATATATCGTTTAAAAAAAAAATGAATCTTACGATTCACTATTTGATTTGCGATTTGATAACAATATTACTCCCAAGTTTGGTACCAACATATTATTGATGTGTCTGTTTGCTACAAAAGGAGGGTAATAAAGTGTAATAGATTTCATGCGCATTTTCAGTACTGCCATGGTGGCGAAGTGTAATAGATTTGATGCACTTTTTCTGTATTGCCTGTCTTCTCCTCGTAATATTATAAGCTGAGAGAAATGGGGAACTTCCATTACAACATTGTTACTAGGATAATGTTGTAAGATGTGACTAGAGAGTTGGGTTGTAATTGACAAATTGTATCTGCTTGCTTGTACAAGAACTGCTTTTGTGCGAAAACACTTTTCGGATCTTTGTTTTTTTTTTTTCTCAGGACATGTAACAACATGTTCTCAAGCGAGAGTCCTCTTCTGCTTCTTCCTTTTTGTTTTTCTGTTGTGCATGATTACAAGTCAGCACATATTTCAAAGCATTCCTTCCTGTTTATTATTCCAAAGCTTGCACCATGCCTCCTTTGATGAGTTTTCCATTTTGTAGGTAAAACAACTTGATGAGAATCTTCCATCTGAACTTGAGGATGTTTTAAGCAAGAAACAGCAGACTGAAAAAGTGGGGAAGTTGCTGGGAGAGGATGTTGCATTGGCATCTGATTCTTTCATCAATGCTCACACGGTTTCAGTTGGAAAACATGAAGCAACAGTGGTGGTTAGCAACTTGAACTTGCATGTCAGTAATCTTTCTCCTAGTTATCTGTACTGGGATTATTCTTTTTGTTGACATCTATGTATTTTTCTCCTCCTATTTCTCCCTCCCTCAAATTATAGCTTCGTGAAGCAGCTCAGGTAGTAAAGGTGGATTCTTCCAAGGTTGATGAGAGCAAAGGAAGAAAACGCAAGCATCTGGTGAGTCACATATGTCCAACAGTGTTTGACAACTTTTGCAATTAAATTTTACTTCATTTTATATCTCTCTCCTCTTCTCTTGGTCCTCCTCCTCCTCCTCTGGCCACCACCACCTAGGGGTGTAAACGGTTTGGTCAGGAATGAGGGAAAATTTAGCACTGAATTGGAATTTTCAGTTTTGTTGATTGAAGAACTGAATCAAACTGCATGCTACGAGATTTTAAAGGGTTTTATAAAAACTTGTAGAATCCCACATTGGTAATAAATAAAGAAAAATAGTGAAAGTTGTTCTATAAATGCATCCCTTCCTAAGTTTTATTGCAAAACGTGTATTGTTAGTCAGTTAGCTTCTAATGTTCAAAAGATTAAAATATTAAGTATTTAAATAAATATATTGGTCTGTTCGGGTTTGTATCGGTGTAGAAATTTTCAAAATCAAAATAAGAAACAGACTGAAAACCAAAATTTCATTCGGTCTTGAGCGGGTGGTTTTGTTCTGTTCTGTCTTTTTCACACCCTGCACCACCTACTAGTACTGCTACTATTATCATTGTAACTGCTACCAGTGGTTGCAGTAGCCACCACTGGAGTTACTACTGGCCTTGCTCTATAATTTGTTCAGTGTAATTTGTAAATCACATAGACTAATGTTGAGTCCATAAAATGTGACAGAACGATCAAGTTGGTGCACAGAGCATGGAAATGTTAAAAGTAAGAGCTGCCCTAGAAGAGAAGTTGAGGCAGAAGGGTATTTTTGGCTCCATTGCATCAAAGCGGGATAAGGTTCAGAAACGTCGACTGGTGAATGGGTAACACACTGCTTTAGATGCACCCAATTTTACGTTCTTTTTCTAACACGTTGGGGTTTAACTCATACAGCTTGTAATTGGACAGACAACTGGAGACGTTAGATGATTTTGATGATGACACTACAGCTCTGGAAGGAGGAACACCTGGGATGAGTAAGGGGCAAGCAACTTCACTGCGTTCAAGTAAACTATCCCAACTTGTAACTCCTCGGGTGAATAAGCCCAAGGTATGAATCTTGAATGTTCCTCCTTTAGATATTCTTTGATAGGCTAGGTTGTCAGGCAACTGTTAGCATCAATCTTGTATTCATGTGCATGGTGTGAATTGAGAAGAGTAGTTACATTTTCTGACATGACCTTGGCAAGAGTTGCCAGAGCTTTGATATTTCAAGCTGCTTGATTAAACTTACAGTTAGTAGTTGGTGCTCCACTTCAAAGTTAAGTAGCATATGTTATACTCCTCGAGGTTAGAGTAAATGACATTTATTTATGTAATTAAAAATGAGATTGTCAAATTTAAACATTTAGGTAATGAAGCATTGCCATTATTTGGATTTGGCAAGTCATTTTGACAATTTACAACTGGAGATGCTCTGAACTTCATAACTTTTGATTTTAGATTTGGGTGTCATTAGGGCTACAAATGAGCCAAAGCTTGGCACGTTTGTTTATCGAGCTCAATTATCGAGCTCGGCTCTGCTCGAAGCTCTATATATTATTTAATAAAAAAATTTAAATAAAATGTTATTTATATTATTTTAACGTATAAATAATATATTTATGCTATTATTTATACATATTTTATATTACTTGTTTAATATATAAATAATATATTTATTTTATAATTTAAATAAAGATAATGAGCCGAGCGTATTCGAGCTCAAGCTTGGCTCATTTATTCAACGAGCCTAAAAGTCCGGCTCAAGCTCGTTCATTTACTTAATGAGCCGAGCCAAGCTCGCAAATAGTTCAGTTTGTTTGCAGCCCTAGGTGTCATATAACTTTGTGAGTCCATTATAAGAGAAATAAGACAAGTTCTTGTCTCGGTTTGTTTGCAGCCCTAGGTGTCATATAACTTTGTAAGTCCATTATAAGAGAAATAAGACAAGTTCTTGTCAAATTTGACACAAAGGTTGACCATTGTCAAAATTTCATAAAATTTTCTCACAATTGTTTTCTAGTGTGAGCCATTTAGGATTTTTGAAGATTGCAAAATATTATCCATCTTTACACTGTTAAATGTCTAGTTACCCCTCAATTTCACACCTTTTTAATTTTTTTTAATGTTGTTGATTTGATACCAAGCAGCAGCGTCTTCGAGAAATGGAGTTTTAATTGCTGCCCTGCTCCTTGGTGCTTGAATAATTTAACTGCGTGAATTATTAACTTCTTATTCCTGTTAGTTTTACCATAGATTTCACCTATGAGCATATTGTTCTCTGCAAAGTAGTATACTAATTTACATACTGTTTGTATGTAAATTTAGTATCAATGATGTCTAGAGGTTCACGTGGCTGATGGATTTGGGCTATTAATGTATTACCTTTGCTTGTTGCAATATAGACCTTTGCATTTGATTTTTTCTGGCAGGTTGTTTCTGGTGATGATGATTTACCTCAGCGGGATGACATTGGAGAAAGGCGAAGGAAACTTGAGCTCCGGGTTCTTGCAGGAGCTGGAATCAAGTCTGGTGATGATGTTGATGATGGGCCTGGCAATCTGGAGAGTGATGGAGATACTGACATGGAGGAGGAGGACGAGGAGGAGGGTGGTGAATCCGAGTCAGATGATGAATTTTACAAACAAGTTAAACAACAACGGGATGCAAAGCTTGCTGCCAAAGCAGGGATGTATGGAAGGTGTGTCTCTTATTTGCTTGAAACTGATCAAATTAGCTATTTTAGCATGATGAACTACAGTCGTTGCTCAGGCTCACACACGTGTCTTTACCTGTTAACTGGGTTGTATTGCCCCCTTTAGAGCTTTGTTCTCTCCTTTCTCATGATGTAATGACTTTTCCTTCTTAATCAATATAATCCTGTTCAAAAAAAAAAAAAAAAACCTACAGTCGTTGTGGATTATTACTAGTATGTTTACAAGCTATCAGCATTTCTCTGTGCTTTATTCAACCGAGACTCAGTTTAACATCAAAACCCTGTAGAAGTTGAAAACATGTTGGTTTTGTCATAGTTCTGATCAATTCAATTTCCGAAACATGTTTTACTTGTGCAGAACCTCAGCAGTCCCATCCATGCCTGAAGTAACCCTGGTAGATGGAAAGCGACAGATCACTTATCAGGTAAGGGCAACCTATTTACACGTGTTTGTTAGATACTTACCTTTGATACTTGCTTTTGTAACTCTTGACAATTTTGCTGCCCACATCACCAGATGGAAAAGAACAGAGGATTGACTCGTGCCCGCAAGAAGCTGATCAAGAACCCAAGGAAGAAGTACAAGGTATTTGTTTGATAGAAAATAGTAAATGATGTCTCAGTGGAACAAATCACATTAATAACCTGGTTGCATGACTTATCCTCCCTCTCTCTGCAATTCTGCAGTTGAAGCACCAGAAGGCAGTGGTTCGTCGGAAAGGGCAGGTGCGGGACATCAAGAAGCCTATGGGATCTTATGGTGGGGAAGCCTCCGGAATTAATGCAGGTATCAGTAGGAGCATCAGATTCAAGAACTAGAAAGTGTTGCCGCAGACACATACAGGTCATCCGATGCAAAGAGTTGCTAAATATTTTTCTGAAGTTTTGATGTTAGTAAATTATTCTTTGTAGTATCAGAGTGGGAATCCATGAAATAGTTTCTTTCAATGGATTTTTTTGTTTTTGTTTTTTGCGCTTTGCTACATATAATCACTCCCTCTAGGCTTCAATCTGGGGGGAATATATAAGCTTGATACATAGTTTGGCTGTTCAATTTCCATTAACTTTTTGAATGGTGGAAAACTGGGTGATGATATATTCAGAACAACACTATCATGTAGCTTAGTATGGAAGACAATGAAAGTAATTTGATTGTGCTGCTTATGATTTTCATCTCTATTAGGCTGTGTTTTGGATTTATGGATTTGAAATGAAAGGATTTGGCACTATCCATTCAATGAGGATATTCCAAGTTAAAATTTCGATAGTTTACATGTAGTTTTAAAGATTGAATTTGAGAGTTTTGTTACCATGGATTTAAAATAAAAATGTAAAAGTAGTTATTTAAAATCTTTGATGTTAAGCGTTTTAGTGCAACATGGATCATGCTCAAATACTTCATCTTAATTTAGACAATATGAGCGTGAAATGGCTGATTTTGGAGTTTAAACTAATAAAATATAGAATTGAAAATTAAATGTTGAATTTTTTATGTTAAAGATATTTTGATAAAAATTTAAATGGTAAATTGAAATAAGTTGTATGATATGTAATATTGAAAATTAAATGTTGAATTTTTTTAATTAAAAATTATTTAATAAAAATTTAAGTGTTAAATTAAAATAAATTATTTGATATGTATAAGATGAAATTTAAAATTTATCTCTTTCAATTTTTATATTAGGGTGGTGAGGGTGAGGTTGTGGTTGTTGTGGAGGTACCGCTGCCGCTATTTGCAGCGATGTCAGTGGGTATGGTGCTAATAGTAGTGATGGGATAATGTTAGGTGTATTTAATTTTTTTTGGGTAAATTATAAATATATCACATAAGATTTGATTAAAATATAAATTATTCTTTATAATTTTGAAAATTATATTTTTTCCTTGAGATTTTTAATGTCATAACAAATTGTCCATTTTATTAATAAATCATCAAATCAATTAACAGTTTTTAATGATGTTAGAAATATGTTCTAATTAGCAATTTAGGTTATTTTATTATTATATAGGAGAGTAATTATGAATTTTATTTTTTTACTTAATTTTGTTAAATAAATTTTTTTAACAAATGAATGTTTGTAATTTTTCAAACTACATGGGCTAATCTATACTTTAAACAAACCTACGGAGGTGTATTTGTAATTTTTCATAATTTTTTACTTAATATTTTATTTCTTCTTTCTCATGGAGTATGGATTCACATGATGTGATGATGTAAGTTTTAACAACCATGTGAGAGGGGAGTAAAATAATAATAAAAAGATTAGATATACCAACAGGGTTGGCTCTGAGATTCAGGGGCCTAAGATAAATTTTAGAAATGGGGGCCCACTTACATTAAAAAAAATAATTCATAGATAAAATGATGGATTATAACAACTTTTTTATTTATTTGTAGCTACAAAATTTTACTTGCACATATAATCATTAAAATTATAAACAAAACAATTTAATGAAACAAAATTAGGGCAAAAAAATTAGGAAAAAATTATTCAATTAAAACTGATAAAGACCTAGGTAAAAAAATTAGGACAATTATTTGTTCCATTAAAATTTAATAGATAAAGAAGGTAAAAAAAAAATTAAGGCAAATTTATTATTCCACTAACTGATAAAGAGAGAATGTAGAAAAAAATTAGGACAACTTTATTAATAAAATTTGATAGCAAGAGAGAGGACTTACAATGAGAGAGAGAGAGAGAGTCGCTCGCTTAGTGCTGTGTTGTGTCTGCTCATGCTTCCTTCTTTCTTCATCACTTCATGAGAGAGAGAGAGAGAGGGAGAGAGAAAGAGATTGAATTGAAAGCACTAAGAGCACAACACTTAGCCCATATATTGTATGTATTGTTCTTCTTGGACCCAAATATATATTTTTTATTTTATGTATTTTCATTTTAATAAATATGGGTCAAACTACATTTATAACTAAATATGGGTTAAACTATACAAGGACTCAATAAAATATTTTGGGGCTCTTAAAATTGATCATAAAAAAAAAAAAAAAACACTAAGTTTGTAACATTTTACTAAATTTAGAGGTGTTATTTGTGGGCCAAAAATTTGAGGCCTAAGGCATAGGCCTTACTGGCCATAGGCCAGGGCCGGCCCTCTACACCTAGCATTACTCATAGTGATTGCAATGGAGGTGGAAATGTATTGGTTGTGGTGATTGTGGTATGGTGGTGGTGACAATAACTCTAGTGGAATGATGGTGTGTTGGAGTAGAGGATTGTGGTAGTGATTGTAGTAGTAACGGTAAATGTGGTGTCGGTGAAATTATGATAGTAATGGTGATGATGACGATGACAATGGTTATTGGGGATAGTGACGGTGACAATGATGAGATCATAACGGTGCATGTTGATGGGTATGCATAAGTAGTTATAAATTCAACATCAAGTATTTATTTATTTATTTATTTTTATAAAAATTCTAGTCTATATTTTAAGAGTTACTTATTATTATTTTTTGGTTTGAGAAACTAGGGATAAATTTTTAAGTGATATTAATTGTTGTTATCAAATGAGTTTAATTGATTTTTATTTAATACGTTTAGCCTTGGTTTGAGAAGTGGGTTGGCTTTTTGACTTTTTGACCTTATTAGCTATTTTAACCTAGGGTTAAAAAGCCTAGTTTGGAAAGGATTTTTTTTGGCTTTTTTGACTTTTTGTGAGAGAAAGAATGTAATGTTTGTGGATTGAATGTTATGTTTTGTCTTGTTGAGACTAAAAAGCCTATTTTGTTTTTGGGCGAATTACACTAATAGTGCCTATAATTTGGAACTTGTGTCACTTTGGTCCCTAACTTTTCAATTGTGACACATTTGACCCTAAATTTTGAATTTTGTTCCAAATAAGAACAATTGAAGATACCATTGCTCAATTTCAAGGGCAAAGTCGTCAATTGGATAAATATAAACTAATTTGACAAAAATAAATGTCAAAAAAATATTTTTGAATTTTTAAAAATTATTTCTACCCACCAAAGATAAAATTATGTAAAATTGATAAATCTTTCACACATTTATTTATTGTTTTTACCAAATTAATTTTCATTATGTGTTTGGATGATAATTATGTAATGGGTAGTTACTAGGCTTTTAATGTGTAATCGATATATTTAATATATGAAATGTTTTTAGTTTTGAATTTTTTGATTTAATGGATTGGTTTAATAATGATATTAAAGTTGTAGCCATATTTGACTTTTGAAAAAATAGAAACTAATTTAATGAAAATAAAAACAACCACTTATTACATGATCATTATCCAAACATATAATAAAAATTAATTTGTTTAAAAAAAAACGTGTAAAAGATTTATCAATTTTATATAGCTTTATCATTGATGGGTAGAAATAATTTTTAAAAATTTAAAAATATTTTTTGACATTTATTTTTGGCAAATTAGTTTATATTTTATCAAATTGACAACTCTACCCTTGAAATTGATTAATAGTATATTCAATTGTCCTTATTTGGAACAAGATTTAAAATTCAGGATCAAATGTGTCACAATTAAAAAGTTAGAAATCAAAAGTGACACAAATCCTAAACTATAGGGACCTTTTGTGTAATTCACCTTTTGTTTTTTGTGGCTATTTTAGCCCCAAACTTCCCAAACAATGGCTTAATTTGAAGTGTTAAATTAAATTATCAAACACACCATGTAAATGAAAGTAAAACTATAAAAGAGAAAATGTTAATAGTTTTTAGTAATTATTTTTTTATGCTTTTTTTAAGATAAAATGATGATTAACCCTAAAAGCATAAATAATTTTCCAAGAGGAAAAGGCTCAGAGGTTGATGTTTGCGAACAAAAGGGCCATTATACAAAACAATGTTTGCTAGACAAGTTTTTTTGACTGTTGATGATGCATATGTTGAATTCAATTTTTGTTTTTTTACGTTTTTTCTCTGTATGATATTCTTAGTTTAAATTAAAAAATTAGCTTAAATAGGAGACATGATATAACATGATTTTTTTATTTTATTTTTTATACATTGGTTAATGAATTGAACCACGATGTTGGAGGGCTTTAATGAAAATTTGATACCAAATTCAAAATTAGAGTAAATTAGAGACTAATTGATAATTTAGATTTTTTTTAATTTTTATTTTTATTTTTATGAGAAAGCACAAGGCCTAATATATTACACATCCGACAATAATTGTTCAATAAAATGCATTGGAGTACAAAATTAATTTCAAAAGGGATAACAAAAAAAAAAACTCCATGCAAGGAGGATATGAGTTTTCATACAGGTAGAAAAATAAACCTCCACACAGAGAGAAAAAAACTTCCATGAAAGGAGAAAACCTCTACATAGAGATATTATTGCAACATAAAAAAATAAAATGATCATCACCAGACAAATAATAATGATCACCTTCATGATTCATTCATCTTTGGTAGCTTTGATACGTTAATCCCTGCCTCTATGTTACGAACTAAAATATTCTGGATCTGAGCTAGTCGCCTAATGTATAACAATGCGTTTAATATCAGATCTCGATCATATATCAGATTCAAATCTAGATCTGAAAGTTTTCTTAATGGCAAGCCAATGATGAAAACAAGAGGGACGATGGCTAGTATGGTGATAGAAACCGCATAAGAATGGAAGGGAGATGAAGATTAAAATCACCACCCTCTCCCCTTAAAGAGCAGATAAAGAGAGCGGTTAGGATTTCTTAGAGAGAGGGTATAGGTAATTTTTTTTATTCAATAATGTGAAAATTGATAATTTACACGAAAAAAAGTGCATCATTTTATTTGAAGGACTCTACACAAATGTTTTTTGGTTTATCATTTTTCAATTATAACAATTAAATTCTTGCACTTTTGGTCAAATTGTATCTGAAAATGACATGTGAACGTAGCTTTATTTTTTGTCTAAAGACAAATCTCACAGCTACCATCAGGTTAATTTGAATTATAGTCAAATTTAGGTCTCTATTGAGAACATGCTATTTTAGTAACTTTTTGACTTTTTACGAAAAAATATGCAAAAAAATAGAGAGAGTGATGTGACAATTTATAGTGACTTTTTTACTAAAATGTATAATTGACAAACAAGAAAATCGAACCAACTCAACTCAAGTAACTCAGGTTGGTTTAGATTGAAATTATAATTCCATCTAAATTTAATTTTTTTTTAAATAAGTACTCATTGTAAAGAAAAAGTGTAGTAAAGAAAATTTATATTAGGCGAGTATAACAATTATAAATAGAACCAACCAATTATATATCATATATAAATTTTGTTTTGAATATAAATAAGAACATTTATAATATCAAAAATAACTAACAAAGAGTACATATTGTTAGAGTTCTCATCAACATAACAGAATTAAGTATCATAATATAGCTGAGCCAGACAACCCAAGTTATAAAATTGAATTGGTTTGGTTCATGAACGACTCTTTACTTCTTCTTCTTCTTCTTCATATATATATATATATATAAACAGATTTACTTCCCACTAGAAATGCATGAACTCTTCAACATTCACTTTCTTTTTTTTTTTTTTTTTTTTCATTTTCCTCCCAACATATGATCTAATTTCAACCCATGTGATTGTGTTCAATTCCACAATTAATTAAAATAGCTTTGTTAGATGATGATTCCAGGTGGCAGCAGTAAAAGTACTCAAACTATTGACTCCTAATATCAATAGATCAATTGGATTAGACTCAGTTTCTTTCTTTCTTATTATATAAATGAAGATAAGATTTTAGTTTAATTGCTTCAACATTCAAACAAAAGTCTTAACAATTTTTGGTTGAGAAGACAGTAATTAGATAGTTAAAAACACCTTAATTTCATTCATTTTTGGTGTGCATGCGCTTAATAAATTATATGATTAGCGGTTGTGACAAGGCGCGATGATAAAAGTGTTATCTTCCCCAGCAGCATTGTGGCACGGTTTTCAAATGACACGAATCAATCAACCCCTCCACAAAAGAGTGAGAATAAGCTATCACTTGCACCGTTAAAAAAAACAAAAAAGCAAAAAATTAACAAACTAATCTGGTTTCGATTCAAGATTAAGGTCAAACAAATACTAGTCAATAAAGAAAAAAAAAAACTAAATCTTGTTTTTGCCAAATATTTCTTAGGAGACATCAAATACTTGTAACTGCAAGTAAATAAGCGTTTCGAGCCATTGAACAACCTCCCAAATGCAAAGTATGAAATGTGACTGAAGTTTTGAGAATATCATAGTTTCTTCCTAATACAATGCGTCCCACCAATCTTTCTCTGCTCTAATCTCCTTTATAGCCTTAGCTGAGTGAAAATCATGCAGATTCTTCAACTTGGGGCAGCCTTATATCTTGATCTGCTCCAATGAGGGCCAAGATCCATTCCCAATGCTGACCAACTCGGGTAGACACTGAAACCTTAATTTTTTCAATCTAGGGAGCGAAACAAGAACATCGATTTCTTCATCTGAATAATCCTCTGCCTCCAGTTTTATTATCCCTTTGACAGATACACAATCTTCAACTACTAGGTCCTCCAAGTTTGAGAGATTTCAAAGCACAGAGTTTGTGAAAACATGTGTCAACTTGGTACAAGCGTGGAATAATAAAAATCTCAGTCCATTGAAACTTCCTCGTGGTACCATACCCTCGCAGAAGCTTCTCAAGTTCCACAAACAATGAATACTCAGTCGTTCTATGAACGGTAGGATACTTTCAGTTTCGTCTTCCTTGCCATCTATGAGTGATTGAATACCGTGACATTCGCTCACTATACAAAATCTCAATTCCTTGATATTGTCAACACCAAACTCCGAAAGACTAGTGATTGTGAAGTGATTATCCAAATACAACGCATTGGCACGACTGAGCACTCTTACAATCAAGTCAGGTATGGTATTGCCATTCACATATCTCAAGCACTGATCTTCTCTATCATAATCGAATTCCACGTCTTTTGGGACCTCTGATACAACATGGTTGATATTTGTTGAGGCCAACGATAAATTTGAACTTGCTCAAGCGATTTAGGGTCCATGATGTACTCCTTCGGATATAGAATTAAAGACAGTCTGCATCTAGAAAGTAGAAATGAAGATTACTCAAGCCCTTCAAAATGGCCACCTCTACTGTGACTGATTCAATACTTTCATTCCACCTAGGATCCCACAATAATGCTTAGTTCTTTTAATGCAACGAGTCTCGACATAGATTCATGTGATAGGAGAGATCGTGGAAGCTTCTCGACTTGCTCGCAACAGTCAATTGGACCGTAGAAAGATACTCGCAAGAGCTTGAGAAGAGACAAATTTCCAATCTCATTGAGGAGTCTATTAATCTCTGTACCTTGGAGATCAGGCACCTCGAGGCGTTCTAGATCTCCAATTTGAGGCGGGATCTCAACGAGGTTTAAACAATCACGTAAGATTAGTGCTTGAAGTTTACACAGCCTAAACTAGGTTGTTGGCAATGATTTAATTCCGGTGTTTGATAAATTTAGAACTTGAAGAGAAGGCACACCATCAAAGAAGGACTCGGGTATCGTTGTCAGGTTGATATTGCTTTGGAGGGACAATATCACAAGTTGGGGACAACTCAGTTTCTCAGGCACCCTAGTGAACTTGTTCCCCATCAAGAACATCATCTCAATTTCTCTCCATTCTTTCTCTGGCGGTGGCTCTTTCAGCCCTGCAAAAGCCCTTGACAAGACCATACCTCTTTGCTTCAACAATTCCTCCTTTCTTGGACCAATTTTTGACAAAAACTGACAATGCTCCGGTTTTGTTGAGATTATCCACAATGCTAGGTCCCTAATCACTCTATGCATCTTGACAAAACACCATCATCAGATGACTCCAACAGAAAAGCATCCACATGATCTTTAACTATTCCAAGCTCCTTTTCATTTGCATATACTAGGTGCCCAGCAATCAACCCTTCTTCAACCCAATGCTTTACCAATTCAGAAACCCTAATTTCATAACCTTCTTGATACAATGCGGTATATAGGAAGCAACACTTAGTAGCATGCCCCTTCAAGCGGTCATAACTAAATTTCAACTGTCGAATTAAAGCTTCACTATCACGTGTTTTAAGTCCACCGAGAGATTGGTAGTCATGCAATGTGAGCTTCCACACTATAGCATTGTTTTGATTTCTCAAGGCTCTTCCAATGACAATGAGATTGAGTGGTAAACCGCCACAATCGTTAACTATGGCTTCAGCAATAGGCTGGATATTTGGGGAATCAACAATAACTCCACCTACTTGATCACGAAACAACGTCCAAGCTTCTTCAGGAGAGAAAACCTCCATTTCAAGAACCTTATCAACTGACATGGCACAATAGACATCAACATGTCAAGCTGCCAATACTATCTTCAAACCATTTCTCAAATCCTTGCAAGGAACTCCAATCGCATCCAAATCAATCCGCTCCAAACATCATCCAAAAGCAACATAAACTTTCTGCTTCTCAAAACCTCAAGTAGCTTCTCTGCAATTTCATCATCAGTCCCAAAGTTTTCGTGTTGTAATGACAAATGTCTAGCGATTTCATTTTGTATCGTTCTTCTGCTCCAACAATATCTAGAGAAACTCACATAGATGACAATGTTGAAAAGGGTAGTTATTTCAGGACAAGTGATCAACGCTTTGAGCAGAGTAGTCTTTCCAATTCCATCCACTCGATAGATACCAATTTTTTTAGCAGAATCCCTTCTAACATACCCTAAAATCTTCTTAGAATTTGTTGCACTTCCTGGTACACTCCTACCTAAAATTTTGAAAACCGTGTCTGCAATTGATCTCTTGCCAAACTTTTCTGTTGCGGTTGTCATCTCCAATTGCATTTCAATTCATTTCCTTCCAAACAGAACTTAACTACATATCACAATTAATTAAATATATCATACACTAATTATTGCTACAGTGAATGAAAATACTATGTGCAGCAAATATGTATACGGCAAAAACAAGTTTGACAACTATTCTAGGAATAAATTGTGGAACACCATTATTGTCATGGAACATCACATAGGTGATAAACTTCTAACAATAAAATATTGGATAAATTACAAATACATCGTGAAATTTACTTAAAATACGGATTGCTCATGTAGTTTTGGAAATTACAAATACTCTATTATCAAAATTTGTCATTAAACAGAGTTGACAGAAAAAATAAAATTTTTAAATGTCCTCTTATACAACAATGAAATTACCAAAAACTATTAATTAAAACATATTGCTGACATAATTAAAAATTAATAATTGACTTAATGATTGATTAATGAAAAGAATTATTTGTTATGCGATTAGAAATTTTAAAAGGTGGGATGTAGTTTCATGAACCGAAGGACAATTAATATGTAATTTACACAAAAGATTAAACTTAGGTGACCTCACGGTAAGGGCATAATTCCTATATTTCGTCTACTGGATTCAATCTTACCACAGTTTAGACATTGTGTCAATATTTTGATAGTCACAAAAATTAAATTGTGTATTTTTTATTTTTATTTTATTTTTTCTGAGTAAGAAAGAAAAGAGTAATTGGATTCACAACCCAACAGGGTTTTTCTTCATATATATATATATATATAACTGACTCATTGAGTAAATATTAAATCTTTGGGGCATTGTTTTCTTTATTTTTTTTGACATGAAAAATTGCTTTACACAGTTGGTTTCAAAAGCAAGAAAATTAAACTACTTAAAAAAAATATATATAACTCTTAGGAGGAAAAAAATCGTACCTGCTTAAGAATGAAAGCATTCAACAATGAAGAGAGAATGAATAACCCACTTGAACCATTAGAATTTATTTAAAATAATAATAATAATAATAATAATAATAATGAATTCCTTGGTTTGTTTATACGATACTAGTTATACTGGATCTATAGATTTATTCTACGAAAATGGCAATCAACTTTGGGTTGTCAGCTTGAGAACCTGTGATTAAATAAGTATAATTAGCCTAAGCTATTGTAGCACAGCGGTTGAATGTTCATATCAACTGAAAAAAGGAGGTCTATCATTTTCCAAAAAGAAGGCGAAAAAAAAAGTGATGAAGAATAGCTTCCTTTTGGCATGTAATATGACATTTTAAGGGTGATCGTAATACAATATTTTAGATGTATTGAACATATTTCTATGGATTGGGTGCTCAATTTAAGAAACAACATTGTAACTAAGCATGTTTCCTTGGCTCCTAATTACTAATGCAACTATTTTGTTGAAGCAGCCAAAACCCTATCTTTTATTGAGGTAAATTCTTCAAGTCTTTGGAGAAGATTAATTTGCAGCAAGTTCCAGAACGAGTAGCTGGTTCCATTCTCAAGGCACTATTACTATTTGTTCATGGATTTGGAAGGACATTATGGGCCTTGCTTCAGAAAATCCTGCGTTATTCAATTTCTTTCTGACTAACTTAGAATTAGTTATTGGTAATGGGGCCAACATATCTTTTTGGAAGGATATCTAGGTGGAGATTGACTGCCTTCAGTCTAAATTTCCTAGACTTTTTAGTCTTTCTTTTGATAAGGATGGGTCTCTGTTAGACTTCATTGTTAGGAAAATTAGCTCTTCCAACTGGAATATCAGTTTTAGGAGACCCCTGTTAGCCTGGGAAGATGAAGCAGTCCATAATATGCAAGTTTTATTGGGAGATGGGCCATCATTAAGGCATGGGATGGTGGATAGCATGAGATGGAAAGCTTCATCTCAAGGTGTCTTCAAATCAAAGGATTTATTCTGCTGGTGGCAGTCCAACGAAGGACCAAATCTGTCTATGCCCAGATTCATTTGGAACAACATTTCACCACCAAAAGTCCAATTCTTCTCGTGGCTGGTTTGGAAAGGTCGTGTAAAAACATTTGTGTTCCATCATCATATTGGTGTTCTCAGAGGGGAGGATGTCACTTAGTGTATCTTTTGCAAAGCTGACTCTGAGACCATTAATCATGTTTTGCTTCTTTGTCCCTTTAGCTAGAAAATTTGGTTTGCTATCATTGACTGGTGGGGTCTTTTTTGGGTTTGCCCTAGCTCTGTTGTGGATTTGTTTGATTGGTGGCTTGGCACACAAATTAAGAAGAAAGAATTGCAAATATGGAAAGTCGTCCCACTTGCTGTTGTTTGGTCAATTTGGAAGCTCAGGAATGATTGTGTTTTCAACAGTGCCCAGCCCAACTTCTTGGAGATCATTGAGCTTATCAAGGTTAGAATTGTAGTTTGGTTGAAGAGTCACTTTTATGGTAATTCATACCCCATTCATGATTTTGTTTCCAATCTGAACCAGATCAGGCAGTGTCTTTGATGGTAGTGTTACTGCTGTTTGTTATTCTGCTGATGAATTCTGTTTTTACTGCTGCTACTTTTGTTGGTGTTGTTGATGGTGCTGCTGTTTCGCTGTTGGTGCTGTTGTTTATTGTTGCTCATGCTGTTGTTCTGTTGGTGATTAGATGCTGCTTGCTGGGTAGGGATGGCAATTTGAACCCGGCCCAACGGGGACCCGACCCCCCGACCTTGATTTGAGTTGTTTTTTCCCAAAAAATACCCCCAATGGGACGAGGATTGTATTCAAAAATCAATCTCCGATCAGTTTCGGGCCGGGGACGGGGATAAGTGTTTAAGCTCCGTCCTTAGCCCATCCCCGTCCCCGCCCCGATTTGTCCCCGAAGTAAAATTACCATTTTACCCCTCCATATATATAAACCAAACCCTAAAACATTACCCAATCACTCACACATAGAGATGACCGCCTCTCCATCTTCTCTCTCGGTTTCTCTCTCTCTCTCTCTCTCTCTCTCTAAAACCCTCCTATCACCGCCGACTCCCTCTCTCTGCCCTCCTCTCAATAGAGACGACCGCCTCTCATCTTCTCTCTCTCGGTTTCTCTCTCTTTCTCTTGCCCTCTTTCTTCGTCACTGCTCTCTCAGATCGGAGTGAGGCAGCGGACGGAGGTAACAGATCTAGCGAATAGGTCAGAAATGACGGCAATCTAAGCGTTGGATCTTCACCGATCAAGTCCCTCCCACACCGTCACGATTTAGCAACAAACCTCCAAGAAATCTGAGCAACTCATCGATTTGGAGGAGAGGTTTTTGTTTCAATTTGTTGTTTGATCCTATTATCCAAGTGAAATTCTGTGAAAATTCATCATATGGGTTTCTTGAGAATTTAGGTTTATTTGTCAAATGTAATTAGTTTCCTCTTTTCAACTTTACTAAATTTCAACAAAGGTACATTTTGTATCCTCTTCATCAAATACTTTGTAATTGTCAACAAAGTTTTGTAATCTTCACTTTGCTAATTCTGAACTTGAAACCCCTTTCTGCTTCCCTATCTAGGGTGAGCTTTTGAGGGCTTTATGTGATTATTTTTCTATGATAAGTTAGGTATTTTTTGAGTTAATTAAAAGATATTGAGAATTGTGTGTGATTATCTTTGATGGCTTATAATTTGTGTTATCAATTCAATTGCATTCATGTGTGCGAAACAAATTCTGAAAATCCTAAAATAACTTTTTGGGATTTCCTAAAAAAAAGTGGGTTGTTTCCAGAAATTTTCCTTAAAACGGTTTTCTTTCGCCAATTAAGTTTTATGTGTTTTCAAAAACTGGAAACATAAAACAGAAGATGGAAACACAACCAAACAAGGGATTAAATTTACTATGTATTGTGGCTGTTCAAAATTCAACTGAATGCAATGTTGACTGCAAAATTCAAAAAAAGAACAAAAAAAAAAAAGTTTCGGGGATTTTTCGGGGTCGGGGAAATCCAATCCCCGTTAGGGTTAGGGGGCGGGGGCAGGGGGGCTGATGGGTTCCCTGCCGGGGATCGGGGACAGGGACGGGGACGGGGAATTTTATGCCTTCGGGGATCGAGGACGCGGAGTGTGATCCCCGTCCCCGCCTCGCCCCATTGCCATTCCTATTGTTGGGTGATTTGCTTGTTGGTTATTGTTTGTTTGATGGGATGAGAGGATGTTGATGTTGGCTGTTTTTGTCATTGACTAAGTTGGTGGCAGCTTTTTGTTTGTTGTTTTCTGTTTTGTTTTGCTCTGTATGTTGGTTTCTCACCAGCATGGAGCTTGGAGCTTGTGCTAGCAGATGATTTGGTGTTCTTTTTGGTGCCAACCAAGTTGGGATCTTGATGGTTTACTTTGATGCTTATTGCACTCTCCTCTTTATTGATGTATCTTTTCATACTTTGTATGTTTTCATCAATAAAGCTTTTTTTGATAATAAAAAAGAAAAAGAAAAAGAAAAAGTATCAATTAGCAGCACAGCACTTTAAGGCATGCAATGCCAATCACATCACAAATGATCTTCCATTCACTTTCACATATCAGAATTACAATATATTCTTGACAATGACTTCTTCCTATCAGCTCTGCTTTTGTATTTCAACTTATTAATTTTTATTTTTTATTAGAATGTTGAATTCGTATAGTATAGGTTTAAAGTTCAATAATTCTATGAACCTTGAAAAATTACCTATAATTTTATCATGAAAGTGAAATGGAGGGTGTAGATTTAAAGTTGGTTTTTTTTTTTTCTTGATCGGCAAAATGAAGAGAATTTCATCCACTTTTTGAATTATGGCCATAGGTAAGATGAATCTCATCCACTTTTCGAATTATGAGTAAAAATCTAGGTCCTTCTAAGTGGGTAACACAATTGTTTAAAGTTTGTAGAATATGAATCACTCCATAATAAACGTGGTCTATAAATTTAATGTTTTTGAGTAATTTTTTGCAATACATAGTGGTGCTGAAACACTTAATTTAGTCACTAGTCCAGCTACCATCTTGATCCCCTGTAAGAGTATCAATTAAAATGAGAACCAAATTACCCATTTCGATCCCTGTAAGAAAACTAAGAACCAAGCAATTAAACACCCCCTTACCCATCTTGATCCCCTGTAAGAGTAGCAGCAAAGCACTTTAAGGCATGCAGTGCCAATCACATCACAACCGATCTCCCATTCACTTTCACATATCAAAATTATAATAAAGTCTTGGCAAATGACTTCTTCCTATCAGCTCTGCTCTTGTATTTTTATTAAATTTTTTTCTTTTTCTTTTAACAGTCAGTCGTGGAGCTGGTATAGAATGTTAGAATTTGTCTATAAATACATACATACATACATACAGACCATTGCTTCTGGCAAAAAAACCACCTATTTCCACTGTATTCATCATGGGTACACTAATTCTTGTGTTACTTTTCCTTTCTTCTTCTTCTTCCCTTCCGCTCATGACTCAAGCATCCACGTCGGTTCTTACGTTCTACATGTTTGGAGATTCAACTGTTGATGCAGGAAACAACAACATTGAAGATGGTATCAAGGAAAACTTTTACCCTTATGGCATCGACTACAACAATCAATCCACTGGCCGTTTTACAAATAGATTAACTGCCGCTGATTTCAGGGGTACTACTATTTTCAAGTTTCTTTGAGTTTTTGGGGGTTCTGTTTTTGCTATGAAGGTTGTGTATTGGTGTTTTAGTCGAACAAAACTCAAAACTCAAAGAAACTTGAAAATAATAGTTACCCATGAAATCAACGTCAGTTAATCCATTTGTAAAACGGCCAGTGGATTGATTGTTGTAGTCGATGCCATAAGGGTAAAAGTTTTCCTTGATACCATCTTCAATGTTGTTGTTTCCTGCATCAACAGTTGAATCTCCAAACAAGTAGAACGTAAGAACCGACGTGGATGCTTGAGTCATGAGCGGAAAGGAAGAAGAAGAAGAAAGGAAAAGTAACACAAGAATTAGTGTACCCATGATGAATACAGTGGAAATAGGTGATTTTTTTGCCAGAAGAGATGGTTTGTATGTATGTATGTATTTATAGACAAATTTTAACATTCTATACCAGCTCCACGACTGACAGTTAAAAGAAAAAGAAAAAAATTTAATGAAAATACAAGAGCAGAGCTGATAGGAAAGTCATTTGCCAAGACTATATTGTAATTCTGATATGTGAAAGTGAATGGGAGATCGGTTGTGATGTAATGGGCACTACATGCCTTAAAGTGCTTTGCTGCTAATTGATACCCTCACCCATCAAGATGGGTAATTTGGTTCTCGTTTTAATTGATACTCTTACAGGGATCAAGGTGGCAGCTGGACTGGCGACTAGTGACTAAATTAGGCATACAAACTTATGATAGTTTATTTTATAAAATGGACATTGTAGTTTAAAATTATATTTACTACTCATTTTATAAAATAAAATATGATTAATTAGTGTCTATCAATGTTCAATCAAACTAATTTTTTTGTATATATATATATATTTTCGAGACCGACGAGATGAACGATTTAGATTATTGTCATAAGCCCAATGGGACTCACAAAGTGGACGATGATGGAGTCTTGAGGGAAGCTTCTCTCAATATATATATATATATGTGTGTGTGTGTTTGCAAAGAAACCATTAATGGAATTAGACATAGGTAAATCTCGTATTGTGTGGGGCACATTTTTTTTGAGAGTTATGTGTTCAATTCTACGCAGCAGAATAGTACTCTTTCTGTCTAGAGCAACCACAGTAGCCATCAAAACAGATTCTTAATTTTCACAACATGTAAAATGAAGCCAAGTTGAACAATAGACAAGCAGCAAATTATTGACAAACTCATCAATGGAAGGCAGACCAATTAAATAATCAACCATTGCAGCAAACAAATTCTGCTCATATAATAAACAAATTTTATAACCGTAACCAACTGCAAAAGATGCTGTAATCCACAATAACAAAAGATGAGAGCACACAATAACAGAGGAGAGAACACAGAAGATGCTGTAAACCACAACCATATTCCTCAAAACATTCAATGATGATAATTGCAAAGGTACCGGGCAATTAGGCTTTTCTTATGCTATGTTTGGATCTTGATAATTGCAATAGAGTACTGAGCACAAAGATTGGAAGTCAGGAAATTTTTTCTGGTTAATTCAGCAGTCAGGAAATTACCTATGCAATCAGATTGGTTAAGAATTGTCACAAATTTTACTCAACAAAACTATTACAGTGAGCAATAAATTGGGTACCGACACACATTTAGTGTATGAACACATTGGATCTTCCTCTTCAATGGTGGCAGTAGACTGATGATGATGATGAGCAGCGGCGGTGCAGTTGAATTTCGTAAAAATAAAAATTGGTCTACTGGAATGAAATCAAGAAATTAATTAAAAGAAGTAATAAATAGATTCTATTTATTGGTGTTGGCACACACTAAACTAATCTACGAAAGAGAAAGGAAATCGAACCTTGCGAAGAATCACAAAAATCAAAACCTCAAATCCACTGAGAGAGAAGGGGAATTGCAGCAAGGGAAACACAAAAACAGACACCCACAAAAACGAAAACAGAGAGAGAAGGGGAGGAGCAGAAATCGAACCTTGCGGCGGTGGTGCTGAGCGGCGGTTTCTGTACAACACAATTTCTCTGTACTACAACACCCTGAACAAGATCATGGGTGATGAGAGAGAGAGAGAGAGCAGAGAGGGTTTCGGAGAGATGGTTTGGGAGAGACTTGCCTCCAAGCAATATATATAGGGATTGAGTGGGTGTTTGGGGTGATGCTAAAAGAGTAAAAAAGTTCCGATTGCCAAATATACCAATAATTTTTTTTTAGCAACTTTTTAAATATAGCAATAATTTTTCAGCTTTTAAAGAAAATTAGAAAGTTACTAAAAATGTCAATCTCAAACAATGATTATATAATACTCTAAGCACAAATTGTATATGCATGGTAATGCTCTACTCCGTAACACCGTATGCAATCTTATAAAAAATTACGTAAATTTTCATAAACTTTTATAAGTAATCTTATAAGTCACAAATTTGTAAAATTTCTCTATGACAAATTGAAATTTTTTTAATAATATTATTAAGGAATCTTAATTAGTAAGAAAAATTATATTGAATCCCTCTTACTACTAGAAATTAGAGAGTAATGTTTCACTAATTTTTTCATATAGCAAATATTGATTTTTACTACTTCAAAATAAAATTAAAAAAAAAATAAAAAAATAGTAAAATGTTCCACTAATTGATCTTATGCCATATAAAGTGCCTTGGAAGGTGTTGACTAGTTTTGTCTTCCATAATAAATCTAATTTGATATGTAATCTTAGTTTTTAAAAATATTTCCTACTATTTTTTATGCTGATTTTAACCCTGTATATTTTATTTTCAACTATTGACATATTTCCATAGATTTTACAACCAATTGGGTAATCATTTTATTTTTTTTTATAGAAAAAATGAAATTATTATTGGTAAAATAAAAAGTGAATATCTATACTATATATTAACTAAAAGTGATCATTTGGGTACTCCAATATTTTTAACTAAATATCTAAAATTTTGAATTAAAAATTAATTTTTTTTAAAAAAATATAGACTAACCCATTAAACCAATAATTATAAAAAAATATTAATTATCTCATTAGTTTTGATTTTTAAAATAAAAATAAAAAATTCCTTTCTTGATTTTCCTAAATCTATTCTCTCTAAAAAATTTGAAAGGAAAATTTGAGACACCTCCAAAATATTAATTTAAAACTTTTAATTTTATGATTTTTGAAAATTGAGAAATATGCATATAACAAATCATTACAACTATAGATAATGGTTTCCATATATTTTTACAAATATCACAATTGATTTGGTTAACGTAATCTTTTTTTTAATTTGGATTTTTATAGTTAAAAACATAGAGTAAAGTTTGATATGTATTTCAAATAACTTGAACCCTAAAAGAAAAAAGAAAAAATAAAAATTTAAAGTATCATATTCGTGATTCATTTAATCATCTAATGCATTAGCATCCAAAAACTAAAAAATAATGACAATAATTTTTACACTCCCCTTTTGAGAGGTTATAAAATAAAGATAAGTCATTTAGAATGGTGTTATCATTGTTCAAAAAAAACTAAAACAAACATATTTTAACCTATAAACTATCCTTTTTTTTTTTTTTTTTTAAAAGAATTTTGGTGCATAGTACGAGTGCACTGCTGATATATATATATATATATATATATATATATTTTGAAGATGGTTTTTGTGGGTGTTGATTTCCGACCACACAACCAAACGGGAAACTCAGCTGAAGAGCATAGATTAAGCCCGAACAACTTGTTATAGAAAGATAAGACTTCGGCGGTGGTTCGTCCACCCGGGGACGCTCCGACGATCAAGTCAGTACTTAATTATCTCTCAAAGATATCAAACAGTGCTTAACTCACTAGCTAGGATACAAAGAGCATACCTTAGACCCATGAGGGTGCCTTACTTTTATAGCCAGCACTAACCTGATCTCTGTAGAAGCCTAACTTCAATGGACTCTGGCTCAATGCTTATCCTGAACTCTCAAATAGATAGAGATAAACTCCCTAAGAGTTTAATCCTTATCCAGACGGAGTTCCTCCCCCATTCTAGGACTCTGGTCCCTTATCCGTTCATCTCGGATTCCGGTATCTCCACAGATAATCTTGGCCTAGCTGAGATCACCTCGGCGCTATGACTAAGAAGCGTGGCACCTTGGCCTTGGTTGGCACTTCGGTGCCACCTTGGTCTCGTGTTGTCATTCACGAAAATATGCCCCCACAGTTTTCTTGGCCATCCTCCTCGGAAATGTGTTTGGTTTGTCCTCTTTTCTCTCACACTCATAGAAGTTTGACAGAAAATGCAATGGTGTGCACCCCCTTTAGGGATGTATACCATATGCATCTTATTACAAAATATATAATTTTATCATAAAATTCCGTAATGTCGATTACAAAATATGTAACATTGTGATAAATTGATGAAACAAAAAATACTGTAACCAAGGTACAAAGTTTTGCAACATCAACTACAAATTTTTGAAAATTTTGTTTACGCCAGTTTGTGGCGAGGTTATACATTTTATTATTGATGTTATGAAATTTTATAATAAAATTACACATTTTTGTGGTATAATACATATGATAGTAACTCCTAAACGGATGCAAACCATAGGATTTCCAAAGTTTGACAGTTACTACGATATAAGTATTTCGTGCACACTGCTATAACATAAACATTTGAGAAACATACAATACAACAAATTATAAGATTTCAAAAACAAAAATTGAAAAGGACAATCACGTTTTATAGAAGAAATAATTTAGTGGTTAAAACTGTTATTGCTGTGGTGACAAAATTGGGATTTGTTGTGCCTTTGTGACTTGTAATAGGATTCGATATTGGACTTTTTTTTGATGATTCGAATGGTTTATATTATAGAATTTGTCAAAAATATTATCCATCCAAAAAAATAAATTTATTCGGATATTCATAATCCCATGATTAGGTCCCAATTATTTTTTAAAAATTATCAAAATTATGTGAACCTTAATTTAATTATAAAAAAAAAACTAACTAATGTGCTTTTGTTATAGGGTTATGAATATTTAATCAACTTGATTTTTTGTATGGATGATTTACTCAACGAATTCTACAATATGAATAGTTCAGATTCTTGAAAGAGACTGAGAACGAGCCTGCACAAATCGGCATAGCAAGATCCCCAATTCCACGAAATTGGACATTTAGTGATGAAATCTTATCTTTTTGGAGTCAAATTGTTTTGCTCCTAAAAGTATATTTATTAGCAGCACGTCTAAAATTTTGTCACTAAAAGTGTTTTCTTTCTTTCTTTTTCTTTTTTTTTTTGGAAAATTACAAATACAACTCTTGAGATTTGCTCAAAATACGGATTGTCCCTCATGATTTTGGAACTTACAAATTACCCATTGTCTGAATTTTTTATTTAATAGAATTAACATAAAAAATGAAATTTCTAACTACTTTCCTATGTAACAATAAAATTATCAAATTTGTTAATTGAAACATATTTTTGACATTATTATAAACTATTAATTGACTTAATTATTATTAATAAAATGATCATTTAATATGCGATTATAAATTTGGGGCATGATGCAATTTTTAAAAATATAGGAGTAATTCATATTTTATATAAAATTCAGAAGATATATTTGTAATTTACTTTTCTTTTTTCTTTTTATTTTATTTTACTTGAAATGATCTTCTAGCAATGATAGAAATTGATTGCCAATCATTTTTTATAACAAAATTTTTATTTTTGAGAATAAAAAATTAATTCTTAAAACCCTTGAAATTAGTTGTGATAAATGATTTGCAGCAATGCAAGCTTCGAGCATGTCAGGAATCAATGAAATAAAGGCTATAAAATGTGAAGACAATTCGAACTGTAGACATTACAACTCAGGCTTTGGTTTCTGTGTGAATGGCATCTGCAAATGCTGTTAGTAATGGGCGCCCATGTGGCATGACCATTTGAATTTGAATTTGAACCTTATCCAAATAAGTTTTGAAATTGAATTCAAATATTTTAGGATAACCACCCAGAATACAGATATTATCTCCATTAACTGATATGGATAGATAATAATAACATATTATATATCTGGTATATGGGTTATGGGTGATTAAGAAGAGAAAAACAACGTATGATCTGAGTTTTACCCACATACTGACTCTCTCCCAAAAACAACGATCAAGTCATTTGCACTGTGATTTGTGTAGGTGATATTCATTCTGTAATATCACTTCACTGCTGGGTTGATTTATCAGATTCTGGAAGCACGTGATTTACCCACGAAATCCTTCAGTTCTATCATCTAAAGGTATGATCTAAATATTTTATCCGCTGCATTTTTTATACTTTGATTTACATTGGTATCAAAGCCATAAATATAGGTATTTTCGTGCTTATTTTTATGCATTAAAATATGTGTATATTTTTTATATAAATATATATACATGATATATGCATGAATATTAATGGATGAGGAAGATGAAGTGCACGGTTTTTTACATTTTAACTCCATTAGATTGAGAGTGTGATATACCTCATTTTTATGTTGTTTAAATGTCATTTTTAATGCCATAAATGTTTTTATTGTGAAAAATGGAGTCCGACAGCACAAAAATCGGACCAGAAAACACCCGGGAAGGCGGCGCGTGTGATTCACGCGCTGCATGACGCCACCTAGAACCGCCACGCGCCATCACGCGCTCTCACGCGCTGAGACGCGCTAGGCGCGCTTCCCATGCGCGAGCTGTCCCCTCCCTTCCACGCGCGAATAGTAAAAAAACATCAGTCCAACCCACCGAACCGGGACCGGGTCACCGGTTTTCTCGGTTCAACCGCCAGGTTTACTGATTTTGCATTTCTAAGTTGGTTTTCATCCTACTTCGGTTTTAGAGGGCTAACCGGACCGGAACAAGGCCCAGTTCCCGGTTCGACCGGCCGGTCCGGGTTTTAAAACATTGGTGCAAAGCACAAAAAATTGCACTACACAAAGTAAAAATTGTCAATTCATTGGAATTCAATAGTGAACCCACATTCAACCCATCACTTGCATTCTAATAAATAAAGAAACAAAATATCAAAATAAAGGAGCAGCCACTGTGGATATTCCTAGACCTTGTTAGATACCCAAACAAAGAGAAGTACAATATAACCCATAATTCCAAAACAAACAATTTAAGATACTTGAATAAATACATACATTGCAGGTACAAATATATACATCAAAACCCAAACACTTCGTTAGGTTTTGTGAAGCTATAAGCTGATGATGGTGACAAGAATGATAATTTTACCACTAGTTTATGATGATGGTACAACAATATGCTTCCACAGAACAAAGTCAAAAGCCAAAGCCTGAGAGAAGAATGACAGGATAAGTGATGTATCTACACCTTCGTACACATAAAAAAAATAAAAACTCATTCTGCAAATTTAAAGGAAAAAATAAAAAAATGATTGAAGAAAAAGGCCCCAAAATATCAAAACCAATATATAGATAAAAGGGGGAAAAAAACCCAATAAAAATATAAATACAAAAATGAAATGAAATAAAATCAAGAATCTGATTATGAAATTAAGGGAGAGAAGTAAGAGAAAAGTACCGAGATTAACAACTAGAGAGGTAGTGACATCACAAACAGCAATGTTAGGAGGTCACAAATTCTGTGGCTCAAATGGCTTAAAACACTCAAAACGACGTCGTTTTGAGTGCAAAACGACATCGTTTTGACAATTTCGGGTTATTTGAACCACAAAATTTGTGGCCACCAAACATTTTCCCACAAAATAAACAACCTGACATATCATAGGCGGCAATGACGATGCCAAGGACGCTCGATCATTTTGGCGGCTTCAGATTGATCATTTTGAAATTGAATTAGGCTGATTTAAATTTATTAAAATTAGGGCTCCGAAAAATTAACACAGAGAGAGAGAGAGAGAGAGAGAGAGAGAGTGAGTGGAGAACTTACCTTTTGCTTGTGGCGATGACAAGCGGTGACAATGGGCAGTGGCGATTAACAGGTGGGGAAAGATTGGAAAGAGAGATGGAGACATTGGAGAGAAAGCGAGAGGCGACGCAGTTAGAGAAAGGGTGAATGCTAGGGCAGAAAACAAAAGGAAACAAAACTGAAAAGCAATGCGTGGGGGTATTATTACATTAGAGTAATGATTCATCCCCCTTTCCCCCCCACCCCTTTGACCCCCTTTCTCTCTCATTGGTTACCTTTTCTTTTTCTTTTTCTTTTTTTTCCTGCTCCTCCAATCACCCCCTGCCACATGGCAAAGGGGTGAGGGGGTGACCCCCAAAAAGGGGTCCCAAGCATTATTCTATTATTTGCTTTTGCCTTATTTCAACCGCACTATATAAAAAAATAAATAAAAATAAATTGTTTATTCAATTCTTTTCAAACAGAACATGAATCTACCTTATAAATTAATAAATATAATTTACACATTTTAAATTTTAAATATTTTTTAAAAAAATTCTCCACATTTTAAATTTTGAATAATATATTTTTTTTCAACAGAAATATACACCAAGGAAAGTGTTTATAATTTAATTTATAATGTAAATAAATCCCATTCAAATATTGTAAATTCTAAATACATTTTAAACAAATTTTCTCATACATATCAGTGTGATGTTGTACTAATGTTATTCATCTATAACATAAAATGCAAATATATAATTAAATTAAATATAAATTTAAGAAATAAGAGAGGAACAAATGAGGAGAAATTGGGAATTAATTAAATACTAAGGGATTGTGGTATTAGAAAAATGACTATGAATTATTTTTCACCTCCATTCAATAGTAAAAAATAATTATATCATTTTATATTATCTTAACCATACATAATACCCCACTGCCTCAATTCCATTCCGTATTACATGTGTTAGAAATTGGGCGCCCATGTAGCATGACCCTTTGAACCTTATCCAAGTAAGTTTGAATTTGAATATAGTTTCAAGGGGTGGTAAATACAACACAGGTAATTCCTAGGTTGGTGTCTGCAAGTAGGTATATCAAGCACTACCAATCACCACTTTACCGATTGCTAACGGGAAGGCACGTGATATCTCTTCCGTGCGTGTTTTTGGTCTTTCACCATAGACACTCAGACCAGCTTAATCAATACCAAACTACACCCCTTATCTGGACTTACCAACGTATTTATCCCAAAACAATTCGAGATGATCTTGTTTCACAAAACAATTCATTTCTCAAAGCAATAATTTTCAAATGCAAAATTCCAAATCAATGATAACAAAGATGAAGTGGAATGGTAATGCAACATGTAACAATGCATTAATATAGTTCCATTTTTAATTTCTACCACACAATCCTCCATTATGATCAAAATTTTCGTATCTCTTATCAATGTAACATCATAATATATATCTTCCAAGAGATAATATAGCAAGATCATCATGCAAACATTTTTCACATAATAATCATTATTTTAAACTTAGTCCTTCCAAGAAAACTCAACAAGCTATTCATCAAGCTTCAAAATCAAAAGTTCTCATTTCTCCATGAAATCCCTCATTTGATACAACTATAGAAATTTCTCCACTATTTATTCACATAATAGTTTATCAAGCATGAAATTCACAATACCTCAACATCTTTTCCAAAATCCCCAAATTTTTAGGATTTCCACCAAAACTAGGTTTTTGTCCCATTTTTGAAAGGATTTTTCCAAAACAACACTCACACTTTAGAATATATAGCTCATACTCTAAAACGTTTTGGAAATATAGAGAAATCCACCTTAAAAACCCATCTAGAGTTCATGAACCCAAACCATAGTTCAAACATGAAAGAAATACTTCAAACAAGCATAGACTTGCAAAAATGTATATATAACTCTAAGAATGTCCCTACCTTAAGCTTGGGAGAGGAAGGAGATGAAAATCCTAGAATTCAATGTTGATGAAAACTTGATTCGATCGGTGTAAACGTAGCCCTAAAACTCAAAGAAACTTGAAAATAGTAGTTACCTATGAAATCAGCGGCAGTTAATCCGTTTGTAAAACACAATAATTGGGCTCCAAAATTTTGATTTCACACTCCGAAACAAGTTTCCAACAAAACTCAAAATTTTAACTTGGAAACGTTAAGATATGTTAAGTAAGAGTATAATTGAAATCTCAACGACCCAATACGATAATCAAAAAGCCGTAAGTAAAACAAACTATCAGATTACGCAATACCGGTCAAGTCTAAGATCCGGGACATCACATATATTTGAACAAATAAGGAAAAGAAATTAAACAGATAGTCAAAAAATTAAAAAGATATAATATATATATATATATAGTTGAATAGATAGTTGAATAGATAGTCAAAAAAGTTAAACAAATAACAAAAAAAATTCAACAGATAGATAAGGGATAAAATTAGAAATAAAATGTTCTCCTAAATAACAAAAGGACTTCTCACTGGGCTGCAAATGAACAGAACTGCTCATGAACAAGCTCAGCTTGGCTCAATAAGAGCTCGGTTCGGCTCGGTTCGTTTAGTAAACGAGCCAAGCTTGAGCTCGAATATTAGGATTGTTCTCGAATATTAGGCTCGTTTTGTAAACGAGCAAAACTCGAGCTCACATAAGCTTGGCTTATCAAGTTCGGCTCGTTAATCTTTATTTAAATTATATAATAAATATATTATTCATATATTTAATAATATATAAATAATAGTATAAATACATTATTTATATATTAAATAATATAAATAATATTTTTTATTTAAATCATATAAATAATATTTAAAAAAATTATCGAGTCGAGTTCGAGTTTCATTGATATTAACGAGCCGAGCCGAGCTCGAGCTTAATAAACAAGCTCGATAAGTAAACGAGCGGAGCTCAAGCTTAGCAAAGCTCGGCTCGACTTGGTTCGTTTGTAACCCTAGTTCTCACCAAATTATTTGACAAATGGTGGATCTCTCACCAACAAAAAAATACCCACTGAATCTAATGTCTTATACTCTTTTTAAATTAGACCCAATGCCAGTAAAGATTTCATTTTCCATATAAAAAAATTGAAAAAAAAAAAGACTACGCTGACCAAATCGATCGTAAAATCTGTGAAATTATATGGAAACCATTATCTATAGTTGTAATGTTTTGTTATATGTATATTTCTCAATTTTCAATAATCATAAAATTAAAAGTTTTAAATTAATATTTTGGAGATATTACAAATTTTCCTTTTAAATTTTTTAGAGAGAATAGATTTAGGAAATCAAGAAAGGAATTTTTTATTTTTTATTTTAGAAATCGAAACTAACGAGATAATTAATATTTTTTTATTATAATTATTGGTTTAATGGGTTAGTTCGTAGCTTTTTTAAAAAATTAATTTTTAATTCAAAAATTTAGATATTTAGTTAAAAATATTGGAGTGCCCAAATGATCACTTTTAGTTAATATATAGTATAGATATTCACTTTTTGTTTTACCAATAATAATTTCATTTTTTCTATAAAAAAAATAAATAAAAAGCTTATCCAATCGGTTGTAAAATCTATGGGAATATGTCATAGTTGTGAATGAAATATACACGGTTAAAATAAACATAAAAAATAGTAGGAAATATTTTTAAAAACTAAGATTACATATCGAATTAGATTTATTATGGAAGGCAAAACTAGTCAACACCTTCCAACGCACTTTATATGGCATAAGATCAATCAGTGGAACCTTTTACTATTTTTTAATTTTTTTTTATTTTATTTTGAAGTAGTATATGGAAAAATTAGTGAAACATCACTATCTAATTTCTGGTAGTAAGAGGGATCCAATATGATTTTTCTTATTAGTTAAGATTTCTCAATAATATTATTAGAGAAATTTTAGTTTATCACAGAGAAATTTCACAAATTTGTGATTTGTAAGATCACTTATATAAGTTTATGAAAAATTACATAATTTTTTGTAAGGTAGCATACGGTGTTATGGTGTATATTACATACCAGAGCATTACCATGTATATACAATTTGTGCTTATAGTATTATATTAATTGTTGTTTGAGATTGATATTTTTAGTAACTTTATAATTTTCTTTAAAAGCTGAAAAATTATTGCTATATTTGAAAGTTGCTGAAAAAAATTATTGGTGAAGAAAATAATGTAACATTTGACTTTTTTAGGTAATTGGCAATCGGAACTTTTTTACTCTTTTAGCATCACCCCAAACAACCACTCAATCCCTATATATATTGCTTGGAGCCAAGTCTCTCCCAAACCCCCTCTCTCTCTATCTCTCTCTCTCTCTCTCTCCCCCAAACACTTCTATTCAACTCCCTCTCTACATGTTCTCTCTTTAACTCCCTCTATGGTGGATCTCTCTCATCACCAATAATCTTCTTCAAGGTGTTGTAGGAAATGCCATATATGTAAGATAAATCTAATCCATATATTTAAATTTTAAATATTTTATGAATATATTTTTCCAATTATGTAAGATTACATTACTAAAAGGGAAAGGAAAAAAAATTAAATTCAAATTATGATGTCTAGATTACAAAAGAATTGAATATTCAAATTATGAAATAAAATTAATTCTTAAATATTTGATTGTTGCCATATTGGTCTGTTTACCCGTAAAATGATGTCCTACTTATGGGCTAAGTTTGATAGCTTTCTTCTGATGGGTTAGGCTAACATGTTTGGTACATAGACGGACAAACAGTTCGACATTCGAGCCTTACATGATGAGAGACATATAGACACAAACCGGTTAGTTGCCAAAACCCCCGCATTTTACAAATCGCGTCTCATGATCCAACCGTTGTGTCATTTTGCCAAGTAGATAGGCACCTCATCACCGCTATATATACATGTCCACAATCATTGTCCTATCGTATCAATTACAACATACGTACGACTTGCCCGACCAATTCACATAACAAAACCATTGTCGGACAATTGCACATTTGTTTTCGAGATCCAAACTAGTTTCTGCAAAATGAGTAGGAGGGGAGAGCAACATGGATGCGGAGTCAAACAAGTGACATTGATACTGGTGGTGGTTGTTTGCCTCATCTTTCTTCCCTTAGGTATGGGTCCGGGGCCACTGGGGCTGCTGCCATTGTACGTGCTCCTCCTCTTTCCCATGGTGGCTGCTGTCATCTTCAT